GTTGTTTAAATTTTCAGTTATTATGAAAAAAACTGAAAATACCACTATGCTTCATGCATTTTTTTAAATGTAGCCAATGCTCAAATGTGCATAGGTTTGAGGAATCTGCATTTCATCTTTACTAAGAACATCTGTGACCAAAAAGGCCAACGTAGGCTGCTAAATTTCTTAAAGGAGTACCCTGAGCTATTCCCACAAGTGATGACAGCTGCATTGTGTCACAGAGGGCAAGTCTCCCTGCAGAGACTGCAATTCATGCACATGGACCCAAGCAAGCTTTAAACTAGCCAGCTTGAGTCTTTGTTAGCAGTATTGCAAAGGCAGCACTGAGCCGGATCCACACCGATCTACTTAAGCTTCTCCAGTTAAGGGGGTTTGGCAGGTAGTGCTGAATTCTGTGTAGCTGTTGTGGTTTCACTGCTAGCAGTGCCCAAGATGGTTGGCTTCAAACTATCTGGGATATGTTTCCGTGAGCTGCAGTCAGTGTTCACTACACATACCCACTTGGTACTGCTTTCTTTGACCCAGAGGGGAAGGTGCCTGCACAAATATTAAACCGGTTCATTGATTAACAAGTCCTCCTAAGCGAAGGAGCAATCTAATCGGAGACCCCCCCACTGGTTATGATTTTAAAATCTGATGGGGGGCTCTCATCTCTTATGAGGGGCTCAGCCTTAATTCATACTCTGTTAGTGAGCTTGTTTCTTTAGTTGCTAAGGCACAGAATTCACTGCTTGCACCAGGACCCTCAGCCTTTCAGCTGCTGATTTGGTGAGTTTTCTATCTTGGCTCAGTGGTGATGTGTAACAACTGCCCATCACCCTTTCTCCTCTCTGCAGGCCGCCCCACTGTGGCATTGTGTTGCTATGGCTTCTGCATTGACCTCCTGATTAGGCTTGCAGGGGTGATGAATTTCACCTATGAAGTTCACCTGGTTGCTGATGGTAAATTTGGCACCCAGGAACGGGTGAGTTTGGGTGTCCGTTTGCCCTGCATCATGCATTGACTCAGACAAAATGTACTTGAGCAGCTAGCACCAGCCACAGGGGTCTCTGGGAGTACAGGACAAACGAGCAGAGCTGGCACCAGGGGCAAACCCTGTGGGAGAGCAGTGCGTAGTGAGAGCAAAGGCAGGGGTCAGCAGTCTTACCCACACTGGGAACTTCTGAACAGCCCCAGTGAACCTGCTGCTGTGTATCCTCTGCCCACCTTGGCTGTTGCTCTTAAAGCAGCAGTGGCCAGGAGCTGTTTTGGGGTTTCTGTCATGGGCATGCTGCTGGGGTACAGACTCTGCAGGGGTAAGGGGCGCTTCCTAACTTGGCAGCTGGGGCAGATGCCCCTCTCACCCAGCCCTAATTATGTTACTGAACCCAATGCTCCCTTTGCTGTCCCCAGTGAGGGGGTTTGAATATGCTGTAGGTGGAGAAGTGGGGGCTTGCAGAGCCTCAGCCTGGCTGATCCTCCCTGCTGGCTCTTTGCAGGTCAATAACAGCAACAAGAAGGAGTGGAATGGGATGATGGGGGAGCTCCTGAGCGGCCAGGCCGACATGATCGTGGCCCCCCTCACAATCAATAATGAGCGTGCACAATACATTGAGTTCTCCAAGCCATTCAAGTACCAGGGACTCACCATCCTTGTGAAAAAGGTAAGGGCTGATGCAGCCAGTGCCATGAAACTGGCTCTCCCAGGGACAGGGAGAAGGACTGGTTAGTGAACCAGGATGGGCAATGGCAGTCTCAGGTGGCCACACCTCTGTACTCCTCTCTTCCTGGCCAGAGCCTCTTAGCCAGCTCCGCACTGCCTGCTTCATTAGCAATGACACCAGAGTAAGACAGAAGTTCCCACAGTTCTGCATGCAGTCTCTGGGTTTCATCCTGCAAGAGACGGACTGAACCCTCCTGTGTAGGAAACTGGCATGGATCCTCCCTCAGATAAGCCCCTCGGACCACAAGCCCTCACCAGCCGCAGCAATAAGAGCTTTCAGGTCTCTCCTGCTCCAGCAGAGATGCGATTCTTCTGGGGGCCTCTATACTCCAAACCTCTCTGCTGGATGGCCGAAGATTGCTCGCTGTTTTAGGATCTAGCCCATGGCCCACTGGAGTGAGAAGTGCTCAGACCTCTTCAACCACCCAGCGCTTCCTCTGGGGGCAGCATGGGAATGTTCTCTTCGGCCTTCCCTGTCCTGGAACAGGATTGCATCCCTAGTGCAGCTGAATTCATCAATGCAGGGCCTTGCCACAGTTCATGCTGAGGCTTCCAAAATGAAAGAACAGGAGAGAATCAGGGGAACAGGTTATGCGGCTATTACACCCACAACGGGGTGTATGCAGGGGTCTGTATAGCAGGTGACTGTGAAGATTTGGCTTCTTGAATGACTCCATCTGACAAGCACCAATGCTCTTTTCCTCTCCTTCCTGTATGTAGGAAATCCCCCGCAGCACCCTGGACTCATTCATGCAGCCTTTCCAGAGCACGCTGTGGTTGCTGGTGGGACTCTCTGTGCATGTGGTGGCTGTGATGTTATACCTCTTGGACCGCTTCAGGTGACTATGCTTTGTGTTAGCTGTCACACAGATGAAGATGGGAGCGTGTGGAGGGGGGACACATAGGGCAAGGTGGGTTGGGGATATGTCTACTGGAGAGACTACCATGTGGCTGCTACCTCTGAGAGCCCCAGCTGGGTTACTGAAATGTGCTCCACATGGGGATATCCCAGCAGCCCACTGGGTAGTTTGGAGCAGGCTCTGAAGGTTTCTCATACCAGAGAGAAGCTTTAGGCAGTGGCACACAAGTGTGTGAGTCCCACATTGTAGAGACACCCCGGGTAGTGAGTGTGGATGTGTGATATCAGGGGAGGGCAGCTGTGGTCTGTAGGGCACAGTCCCCTGGGTCTGGGAATGCCATGGGCAGCCTCATGAACTGCTCTAGTTTGGGAGTCCTGGGAAGCAGCTGTGAGGCACTAGGGCTCCATGTGTCAGCAAAGTGCTTGCTCACATCTTTCAGCCCATTCGGCCGGTTCAAAGTGAACAGTGAGGAAGAGGAGGAAGATGCCCTGACCCTCTCCTCTGCCATGTGGTTCTCTTGGGGGGTCCTGCTGGCCTCTGGAATTGGAGAAGGTAAGCCACCTGCACCCAGATGGTGCTGAGAGAGCAGGTCCAACTGCATCCTCCAGATCACAGGATGGGAAGTTTCACCTCCCCCTCCTGTCCTTTCAGGAAAGTGCAATTGAGGAGGTGCAGTGCCAAGGCTTTCCTAGGTGTGTGCACAACTCTGCTTTGGGTCTGTGTAATGGAGGACCCTGACCCCTGTTACTGGAAGGAAGTAAAAGCAAGGGCAGGTGGAAGGCTGGCAGACTGTGGCTTATGGGGAGATAGGCTGCAAAGTGCAGGCTGCTCATAATTAGCTACATGAGCAACAACACTGAGAGTTGAGAAGTAGCGGAGTTAAGAGGGCCATGGGAGAGAGAGCCAGTGCAGATTGCAGGAAGCCCAGCTGCATAGAACAGCAGAAGCAAACAGCACAGGAAAAAGGGCCACAGAACTCAGCCTGCAAGACGGAGGAACGCAGGGCTACTGACTGGGGGCCTTGTTACACCTTATGCTGTTTAATCATCCCTTAACATTAATGGGTGTTAGTTAGTGCTGGCTCCAGTTTGGAGAAGTCACATGTTCAGGCCAGCAGGGGCCTGGAGAAGTGAAAGGTAAGTATTGGCCCCCTCCCACTCCAGGCTTCCCTCCCTGGTCCTGGGGGCTCCCCCTGTTTCCTCCCCCAGGTTTTCTCCCCCTGCCCCTGGGGCATTACTTACCCCGGGTGGGGTGTTTAGGTTAAGGTGTAGCCTAGACTAAGGTGTAGACTGATGTCTGTATTGTGTACACCTTAGTGCAACATGAGCTGGGTAGAACGGATCAAAGGTAATCCTGCCCTGGAGTGGCTTAACTTTGAGCTGCATAATGAGTGCTTAAAAACAGTTTCAGGTATTAATATTAATTAACAATCCAAGGGTTATTAGCTCCAGGAACCACCCAAAATTACTGTGTAACAAGATCCTGAGATAAGTAGCAGCTCCTGATCCTTGTTACCAAAGGCACAGGTCAGGTAACTGGAATGGGGAGGAGAAAGGGCTATTGTAAGCCTGGGTAAGAATCACTGCAGGACTAGGGCAGTGATTCTCAGCCAGGATGATGTGAGATCCTTTGAAGGGTGCCGTGAGGAGATAGACAGCTAAGAATAGGTTAAGGCTTGTCCCTGTCTGTCTGATCCCCCACCCGCACTGTCCGGCCCTTTTCCTAGGAGGTAAGCGCTGTAATATATGGTAGGTTTTGAAACTGGGTACCACTTGGTTCACAAAAGTTATGGAGGGGTATCTTGAGCTCAGTGAGGGGAGTTTCAAGTCCAAAAACCGTGAGAACCACTAGGCTAGATGCTCAGAGTGGGCCAGATCCTCAGAAGGGAAGGAGCTCTGCTAACAGCCTCATAAAGATAGGCAATTTTAGGTTAGATTTCCTTTCGGATTTTTGTTAACCAGAGGCTTAGGCATGGCTGCAGGGCTGGTTGGGGGCACAGGGTGTGCCTAGGAGACACTCTGTGCTTTGACTCCTGCAAGGATCTGGGACCTGGTGGGCTGAAACCAGTATAGGGCCAGAGACCCCAGTGAATAGTGGGCGTGACTATGGGGCATGGCTGTAGGGAAGGCCGAAGGCCATGATTAGTGCCATTAGGGCACAGGTGGTGACCGCAGGGCATGGAGATTTTAGTTTAGTGAGAGGACCTGAGGCCTAAGACTGGGGCAGGGCTGGGGGCCTGGAGCAGAAAGAGAGAATGAGGCATCTATGGCCTTATCCCAGTTTCTGAAGGCAGGCTCCCTACTTTAGTACTAATATTCCATCATCGTGTGGCGGGAGGCACGAGGCAGCAGAGCAGGTGAGGGGCAGCAGCTGGGAGGACCAGTCAGCACAGCCTCCTGAGGCAGGCCTCACCAGAGACTGCTGCTGGCTACCCCTTAGATGGGTGTCTTCTGCCAGGCTTTGTGACAAGAGAAGCCTGCAGTTAGCAATGATACATTTGGATGTTGAGAGAACAGACATGGGAACCATATTCCCAACAAGGCTGGAAGAGATGTCATTTGTCCTTCCCTTTTTGTCCACTTAGCACAGGCCTGGACCTGCTTATGCTTCAGCATTTTCTGCTGCATAGGCATCTCCTGGATCTGACACTGACTGAGGGCAAAAGTGTTTCTTCCACCTTACCTGGGAGCATACTTTCCATTGCTGCTCTGGCCATATCATAGATTATGGGCACATCTACATGTGTATTAATGCACCGTCTTTACAGCACATTAAGTTTAGTACCTATAATAACAGGTATGAACTCAATGTGCAGTAACTGGCACTGTTGCACAGTAGCGCCAGTGCACGCTCTTTTAGTAATGCTAATGTGCAGTAGACTAATTCTACTGCACATTAGCGCATAGATGTGCCCTGTGTGTGCCAGCTCTTTACTACAGCAAGAGCTCCCTTGTCTGTCTGGTATCCTTGGTGGGATCTTCCCTTTATTCACCACAAGCAGTTACTTCCAGGCCTGTGTTGCTTGTGTCTCTGGTGACAGAGGGCAAATGCTGGGTTTGCTTCAGTGCCTAAGCTGTTAGGAAGTCAGTCTTTACTCCACCTAGATAATCAAGCCAAACTTGAGGGCATCTGAACCCCAAGCTTTCGGGCTTGGGCCTGTACATAGGATGCCTGTCAAAGGATTTGGAAGCATCTGAAGCCCCAGGCAGGGGTGAAGGATGTTTGCCGGTAGTAGGGCCACATTTGGCTCTTGAATGACTCATGGATTTGGAATTGATTTGGCTGATTTGACTTGGAACATGAAAAATTTTCCTTAAAAAAAAAAAATAATAATAATAATCCTCTCACTGATTAGACAACAGCATTTCCATCTCACCCAGCCACAAGGTGCTTAAGGCACATGTTTTGTCAGGTGATCCACATAGATCTCAACATCTTGCTCCCCAGTGCGATGGACTCAGTGCCTGGGCAGTTGAGGTCTCATCACTAGATTTTCCAAGGTGAGCTGACCTTGAGCAGGCATCAGTAAGAGGGATCTTGGGGTAAGTCAGTCAGGGCTCCTTCTTGAGAAGCAAAAGAGCAAACTGCTCATGCTCTTTTCTACTGACATTCTGACAGGGCATGGTGATGGGGTGGGTCTGCCATGTGACTCCCATAATACCTTTGCAGGACAAGTCTATACCCACTTGTAGGGATTAGGACAGACAATAAGGTTTGTTTTCTTTCTCAGAATATCTAATTGATGGTAGCCCTGCCTGTGTCTGCCTGCTCTGTGGAGTCTCTACCTGTTGACACACATGGAGCTACCATCTTTCTTGCTAAGTTTTTCTCCTTTCCCTGGCAGGTGCTCCCCGGAGCTTCTCTGCTCGGATACTTGGCATGGTGTGGGCCGGCTTTGCTATGATCATTGTGGCTTCATATACTGCCAACCTGGCTGCCTTCCTGGTGCTAGACCGACCTGAAGAGAGAATTACGGGAATCAATGACCCCAGGGTAGTCTTATCTGATGCATGCTGGCAAACATGTTAAATGTTGGGCAAAGCGGGCTTTGTTGAGTCATGCAGGGTAGATGCCAAGATACAAAAAGGACTGATGTGCATCTCTAGGCCTGTACAACATAGCCGATAATCAGGAACACTGCTAAAATAGCATCTGGCTTTAATGTGGGTAGCAAACCTGATGCCACTAATCATCATAAATCCTCAGGGCTCTGAGATTAGGGACTAGAGTCACACTAGCATTCTTCTGGTTACCCTCTTCAAATCCAAACATGCTGCTCTCTATTCCTGTCCTTCCCACTCCCCTGTTGAAACACCAGGCATATATCTGGGCAGGGAATTGTTCTACACTCAGCGTCTTTTTCTTCCTGCCACATCTGCCACTCCAGCTTTCTCCTGTTGTGCCACAAAGGGTAGGTGCCAACAGTGAGGAGAGGTATGACATTAAGCAGATAGGCTTGGGGAGAAGGAATGGGAAGACCTGTGGCAGCAGCTTCATGTGATGAGAATTGAACAAGGGTAGAGTAGGTTAGAAATATATGAAGGGTCTGTTGTGAGTGCAAAACCTTTTTGTTCAGAGAATGGATCAAATGGATCTCAGAGTAGATTCTACCCCACTTCTCTCAGTTACTGCTCTAGAATGGATGGACAGACAGACAAACAGACAGGTAGACTTTCTGACTTACATTTTTAATATAAAAATGTTGAAAACAAAAGGAGAAATGCTGAAGTGCAGAGCTCCCTGAGGGACTGAGCATAAAAGCATTCATCAGTAACAAACTCCTACTATCCCCAGAGGATGCAACTCCCTCCCCTACTCCCCAGTGCCTTTTATCTGGTCAAGCGTGTAGGTCTAGCTGACCATCTTCCACTGTTCCAAGGTGCTTGGTGGCCTGGCATGACACAGACTGGGCAGTATCAACAGGGGTGGGTTGGTGGGTAGACAGATAGTAAGCCTGTGCAAAGCAGCTAGTATTTGCTTCGGATTTGGCCGATGCAGGGGACAGTGATTCGATTTGGTGATTCGAATCACTGTCCTGATTGAGTCAGCTGAATCTGATTTGGAGATTCGGCTGCTGCCAAATCTCCAAATCACACAGGCCAGGCCCATCCCCCGCCCGCCCCAGCTCCCGGCACTTGGAAAAAATGCCTCCCAACTCAGCGGGTGCTGCCAGGCAGGGGACTATCTCCACTGCCCCATGCTGCTGTGGGGGGCTCTGCACGAGCCCCCCGACCCACCCTGTGCTGTCCCAGCCCCCCCATGGCTGCCCCGCCCACCGAGGCTCTGGCCCCTTTAAGAAAAAAAAAACGAGAAAAACCCTGGATTCACCATTCCTGGCTGGCAGGGGTGGGGGTGATCCCTGCTGCCCCCATTGCTCTGTGCTGCATGGGGGGCTCTTCCATGAGCCCTCCCAAAGCCCTGAGGCTGCTGCAGGAACAGTGAGTCCCAGAGGCAGTGTGGGGCAGTAGGGGGCAGCAGGGATCGCCTCCCCGCCAGCAGGAACAGTGAGTTGGAGCCTTTTTTTAAATGCCAGGAGCTGGGGCAGGCGGGGCAGCAATGGGGGAAAGGGGGAACAGGCAGAGGATGGGGCCTGGCAGGGGTCCTGCCATGGTCCCCTACTCCTCCTCCAGCCCCCTCCCTCCCCCACCTCTAGTACTTACCAGCTCCGAGTCCAGCTGCAGCTCCCTGCTGCAGCCACTGGGGACTGCCCAAATCATCAAAGCTCTCCAAATCTTTTCTGAAGATTCAGAGAGCTTCGAATAGATTCAGACCTTTTAACTGGTCCCCTGATTTGATTCGGATTTGGAGATTTGGCCACCAAATTGGGCCAAATCTCCTCTGAATTGAATCGCCACCCGAAGCTTCGCACAGCCCTAACAGATAGCTATGAGGTCCAAGGGCATATTATCCAGAAATAGCACATTTCCTATCCTGAATAAGATTAGCCAGACAAACGGAGGACAGGACCCACTGCAAGTATTCATGGGGCAGTGGGACTTTCCAAGCGAGTCAGGAGCCCAGGCCCCATTCTCCCAGGAGAGGAGCAGTAAGAAACACAGCTTTGAACAATGCGAGTGTAGCTGGCAGCTAACATATAAGGGAGGGGAACAGGAGTGGGGCTGTTGACTACTCTAAACTATGGTCCCTGCTCTTCCAGCTCTGATTGTGGGCTCTTACCTTCCCTTGCAGTTGCGCAACCCCTCTGAGAAGTTCATCTATGCCACAGTGAAGCAGAGCTCCGTGGACATTTATTTCCGACGGCAGGTGGAACTGAGCACCATGTACCGGCACATGGAGAAGCACAACTACGAGAGTGCTGCTGAAGCCATCCAGGCTGTGAGGGACAAGTGAGTGAGGGCTGAGCCCTACTTGACCACTGCTGGCCCAGGGTGGGGGCTGCTGCAGGGAACACACTGCCCCTCTGACTTGTGGACAGAGGCCTGTGGGATATCCTGCTCCTCTGTCAGGGTCGGGGCACAACCTGTGAGGACAGACAGGGCTGAAGTAGTTCTTCGTTGTGTGCTCCAGGCCACACAGGGGCATCCTGAGTGATGTAGCTATGGATGGCTGTGGCCATGGCTGTAGCCATGATACCAAGGGAAGCCTCCAAGGTGCTGTTGTTTGTCCAGGTGGGAGGTTGGTCAGCTTGAGTGAGATGTTGGAAAGAGACTTCAGCAGGTAGCTAAACCTGCTGGACATGATGGGAATCAGAAGGGATGCAGGATGTGCCTTTAAGCCTGTGCAGTTAAAAATGTTACAACATAAGCAGGCCACTTGGCTTTTAACAGCACTGGGCTGCTGCTACAGGGAACAGGCCCTCAGGATTATGCATTGCTGGAGGTGCGTGCACTTTGGGAGGTGACAGGAACACAGAAGCAGATCATGCCAGGGGAAAGGACAGACATTTGGCAAAATTTCTAATCATCTGCAGCTCTTGCTTTTGCTGGTGAGGCAGCAGAGGGAGGAGAGGAAAGGGCCTCTCTGTCCTTCTCAGCCACAGGTGCTGTAATCTGTCTTTTACATAAGGACAATGGGGTGGTGTCACAGGCATGGGCTGAGAAATGCCAAATGCAACGTCAACCCAGTTCACCTCCATGGCAGTATGTTACTTGTATTACTGCATAGAAACTGCACCAACCTGTCAAACCAGGGGCTGCAGAGCTGATCAGAATGGGCACAGCTTCCTTTTATGGAACAATAGTTGCCTTGTTTGATGGTTACACTAGATCCAGTGCCAGCATCTGTAGCTCTTGCTGTTTCTGTCTTGTAAGACAAATCCTGCTGCCCACACTGATCTGGCCTCCCTTTCCTGTATACTCCATTAGCAAGCTCCATGCCTTCATCTGGGATTCAGCAGTACTGGAGTTTGAAGCCTCCCAGAAGTGTGACCTGGTGACGACAGGGGAACTCTTCTTCCGTTCTGGCTTTGGGATTGGAATGCGGAAGGACAGTCCATGGAAGCAGAACGTCTCTCTGGCCATCCTCAAGTCTGTATACAGCTCTTACTGAGATAGCTGAGCTCTGCAAACACTGCATGGTCTTGAATGCCGTTGGCTGTCTGTGTGCAAGGTGCCAGCTTGCTCTCATGTACCCCTGTAGCCCCCTGACTAATCTAGTTAGTCTATAAGGTGCAAATCTACCTTACCGTCTGTTTGACTTCAGGCTAATGTGGCTACCTACATCTCTCTACATATCTCTTCTAGGCCATTTCTCTACCTCTGCTATATGATTTCCAGTCAGCTGGCCTGCAGATACAGCCCAGAGATCTGGAGACTTTAGCTGTGGCATGGGGCTTCTGTATCCTTATCTCCTTATCCCAGTTTCTAAGGCACTCCTGACTCTTGGGTAACTTGGAAGTAAAAGCTCCTGTCTAGCTGAGACTGGTCTCCAAGTACTTTACTCCAAGAGGATGTTTTTCATCAAATTTGGGGAAAACAGGTTTAGAGTTTGCTGAAAGATCAGAATATTTTAAAAGCAAATAATACTCTGTAAAAATCCAGGTTGGATGAAGGGCAGGTAGAGGTGTTGGGAGAAGGACTGCTTCCTTACACCTCAACTCTTAGAATGAAAAAGCCTGATGAGTGCTCCAGCTCTGTGCTCATTGTCAGAATAACCTGGTTCAATCTGTAACTAGAAAAGTTTGCTTCCTACTTGCCAGCACTGTGAAGTAGTCCTGGAATCTGAGAGCCAAGGTGGGCTCTGTCTCCCACACGCACCAGGCTTGGCAACTATGACTTAAGTGAAGCCTGTGCAAATGTGCAACTGTATTGTACCTCTGGGAGGCCAGAGGCATGATAGACCGAGCCCAGTCAGCAGTCGTACCTGGGGAAGTGTCTGGCTGCATTTGTTAGCAGAATAGAGTATAGGCATGGCCTACCTGCATCGCACCCATCATGCTGCATGTGGCCCAATATCTTGCCTTCAACAGTGGCCAGTGCAAAATACTTCAGAGGAAAATGCAAGGAGCTCTGCAGTAGGCAGAATGTATCCTAGAAGCTTTCATCCTCACCCCCAAAGGATGGGGACAACTGTTGTCCTCAAGCAGGAGAGTTCATAGCCCAGCAGTGCTCTTAATTATTCTCTTAATGTTTATTCTTATATTCCTGAATATCCTTGCTATCCAGAGAAATGTGCCATTCCCTTCTGACTCCTGATAAGACCTTGGCATCAGTGCAATCCCGTGGCTGGCATTTCCACAGGCTCTTTTTACACTGTGTGAATAAGCATCCCCTTGAATCTCTTCTGAAGATATGTATGCCTTGTTCACAAGGAAATGCTGCCAGAGAGCAGAACTGGTGAAGAAATAGAGTAGGAATAAATGGTCCATTTGATTCAGTTGCAGGTTAACAGGCAGGAGCCAGTGAATCCGATACCAGGCCTGGAGTTGTTTAGTGTATGCATCATTGTTCTGGAAATGGGGGTGAGCAGTGAGGTAGCAAAACATTCATATGACATGGAATTATGTAAGGAGTCAAGAGCTCAGAAGCTTGTGAGAACTGCAAGGATCTAACCCAGCTATGGAACAGGCCACATGATGGGATTCACTGCAAGCAGGTTCAGATTAGTCCCTCCTCTGTCCTTAAGGAGAACTTTCCATATAGACTTTGCAGGATTGGAAATGAACTGGATCAGGTTCGGATAAGGACTTGGGTATCACCTTGGTCAGTTCAATGAAGATTTCGCTCAGTGTGCAGTAGGAGTCAAGAAATCTAGCAAGATGGTAGGATGTACAAGGACTGTGATGCATAAAAATGCCACAATATACATATATCTCATAAATAAATTAGTGGTTCAGCCACACTTGGAAAACTGTGTGGTACTGGTCACCCTACCTCTACAGGCATTGAATCTCCTCCAGTTGTACAGAGACAGGATAGTGGATGTGGGAAAACACCCAGAGGAGGACAGATTGAAGGGCTGTGACAGTTTACCTTAGAGGGAAGACGAGTAGGAAGGGTACTGATACAAATATACAAAATCCTGAATGGCCTGGAGAAGGCGGGTGGAGAATGCCTGTCCTTCAGTTGACATGCAGAAAAACAAGGGAAAGTGCAAGGAAACTGAGAGGTGAAAAAGGATCAAATGAGACACTTTTCCCCCATGTAGTGTTGAATAACCCCCTGAAACCCATAGCCATGCTATCCAGATGGGGATGGAACTCTTCTGTGGATCGGAAGCCCAGAAGACCATTCAGAGCCTTAAGACAGCTTTGGGAGGGACCAGACCCTCCTGTTCCTGGCCGCCAGCCAGCAGTCACTGGTGGGGCCCTGGAGGGAACTGCCCTGGGAGCAGGCTACCTTGAAAGGTTCCTTGCACCTTCCTCTGAAGCATTGGGTGCTGGACACAATCAGACATCAGATACTGTGCTAATTGGATGCCTGTCCAGTGCTGCCTGAGCTCCTGAATAGATGCAGCAGGTTAAGGGCAAGTGTCATAGAGAACCATGGGGAAGGAAAATGACTGCCCCAACTTTCAAGGTAGGCTGCTGACACAGCTGGGAGCTGGGCCTAAGTCTCCTCTGCCTTAGCCCAGCACACAGGCCTTCAGCAATCAGTCCCTGCCTTTTCCCGAGCCTCTCTCCTTATCTCCATCTCCTTCAGCAAGTGCAACTGTCGCTCCACTCTACCTCTGCTTGAAGCAGGTCCCATCTGGAGGAAGGGATATGGGGGCAGGGGAGATCCCTCCATTTCACCTGCCTGCTCTCTCATTATGGGAATGGCTGCCTAGCTGGAGGAGCAAGGGGGAAGCCAGGGTTCAACTATGACTCTGCCTGCTTGCTCCTCTGCTTCCAGTCCAGGTGCTATGGCTTCCAATTGTGCTTGTGATCCAAGTGCCCCAGCCTGCCAGCCCTTCTCCTGGTGTCCCATGCCCCAATCATGCTGAGTTTAATATTAACTTGGAACCAGGCAGTGCTAGGGTGAGTCTATAAGTAGAGGATTAAAGGGGGCAGAGGGGTTAATTTTTTGGTCTCCAAGCTCCAGCAGCTTGATACTGCCCCCCCATCCCAAATGCTTCTGTCCACAAATCTGGTCCTCTCCTTACTCAAGAAACACAAGCTTTTCAATATAAACTAAGGCACCTGGCTTTGGAGTGTAATAACCAATGGTTGGGGAACCCATGAGGCCAGCCCTACAGTTGTATTTCAAAACAAAGCTTCACTTTAGGGTCCTAATTTGCTTTAATTGTGAGTTAGGGATTTCAGGTGCCTGAACTGCCCCATGTACACATCCCTCAGGAACAGGCCTTGTATTTCAGAATCTCATTAAACAATGGCACAAATTCTCCTGCAAGCACTGACTTCAGAAATGGAAGAGGGAAGCAAAGAATTGCCCCACAGAGAGGTTGTATACTCATGCCCTGTGTGCACACTCGGAGCACAGCAATAAAATACACCCTCATGCTATATAAAGCACACAGGTTCTACCCACAGCTGTACCATGCCTGCTGTGTAACCTTACCAGCTCAACATGTGGCCATGGCCAAAGGCAAACCCAGACAGCTCTTTCCAGCCTCTAGCATGAGGGACACTATATCTGAATAGCAGTTTATGGAGCAAATGTGGGCAGCTCCACAGAAGAAGGGCTCTGGATGGTCATACTCCTCCCCTGCCCCCATGGCCAATGCTAGTGCAAACTCCTCTTGAATCTCAGCTGTCTGAGCACCATCTCCAGTGAATGCTCAGTACTATCTCCTTGTGCTTTCAGATCCCATGAGAACGGCTTCATGGAGGATTTGGACAAGACTTGGGTGAGGTATCAGGAGTGTGATTCCCGTAGCAATGCCCCAGCAACACTCACCTTTGAAAATATGGCAGGTTTGTTCTGCAAACCTCTTTTTCTCCTGTCGGCTCTATAGCCTGCTTTTTTCAACGTACCCTTCCAAGTTCACCTACAGGAGCTCAGCTTTGCTTCCTCTGGGGCTGTGCTTGCTTGCCATATAGGGGCGTACTGCATTGAGCCCTGTCTTGCTCCCACTGGGATATCAGAAACAGCCCTAAAAGCCCCTTTACCCCTTCCCTTTGGGCCCCTATTACCATTCTTGGGATTTAAATGTCACCCACTGTGAGCACATCTCCCCTCCTGCTCTGGCTATAACTGTGGATGCCAGATTGAGCTTAGAGTCAGTCTTCAAGGCAGAGAAGGAAAACAAAATCTCAAGTAGAAGCCCAAGGAAATGGGGGAGGAGAAAAACAGCAAAGCAGAATAAATCAATAACACAACAAGGAGGGCAGCAGGTGTCAGGAGTAGCTTCAGGGGCAAGACTCCTGGCTCCCAAACCTGATTTTGCCTCAGACTCTCTGCATGACCTCAGGCAAGTCCCCTCCTCTCGGGGCCTCCCTCTGTCAAATGGGGAAGATGGTTTTGACTAAGGTTGGGGGAAAAAAATGGGTGGCATTATTCCTATGCTGAGTTTGGCCTTTGTACATAGCCCTTGTTCAGATCATGATTTCTTGAGGTGGGTTCACCCTGCACAAGGAAACATTCTGCTAGTGATTCCTTGCTGGTGGCTCCTCCGCCATCAGGTGATGCTTGGGGGTGGAACTGGGCTGATGGGACACAGTGCTGGTCAATAGTCCTGGGGTAGGCATGAGGGCAGCTCTGAGGGGCACCATTTCCCTCCATCTCCTCCAGTGCCCCATCTTCTCCCACACAAGGCTCAGCACTCCCACGTGCCCACTCTGTCCCAAATATTACTAATTTCTCCTTCTAGCTGAAAATTTTCATGGCAAAGTGGTCAGCTCAAGCCAGGAGCATCATGTTCAGCCCTACTGCTCCTAAGTTCCCACGAGCAGCTCTGACTGGGCGCACAGGCCACTTAGCATGCATCCATCTCCTGGGTGGCTTGATGTGAACTCATAGAATTGAGTTCCCAGTGCAAATACCCATGGCCATAGGCATCATTGAGATTGAGCTGATAGAAATACCATTAAAATGAGCTGTCTGTGGATAGTCTGCAGCATTCCCTTAAAATCCAGTTTTCAGGGCCATTGCTAGGGTGAATGCAGATAGTGAATGCAAAAGGGACATCGACACAGACAAAGCAAATTGAGTTAAAATCATGAAAGCTCTGTACAGAAATGTCCTGCAGTATTTGCCCAGCTCTGCTGTCCCTATGCTTCAGGGAACCTCTGGGTGGGGACTCTTTGACTGTGAGATGCTGTTGGTGGTTGGTATTATGCAAGGGAAATGAAGAGTCGTGATGCAGTTTCCATTGCCCTCTATAACTTTCCTGCTTATTTCAGGTGTATTTATGCTGGTGGCTGGAGGTATTGTTGCCGGGATATTTTTAATATTCATAGAAATAGCTTACAAAAGGCATAAGGATGCGCGAAGGAAGCAGATGCAGCTGGCGTTTGCAGCCGTTAATGTGTGGCGGAAGAACCTGCAGGTAGGACAAACCGTTTTTAGAGCAAATCTCCAACAGGTGCGTGTTCCATCCCTTCACCAAGTCAGTGAATACAGAGCTATGGAATAGCATGGGGGGCCCCTTCGCCCCTCACCCCGGGTCCCCAATAACTATGGCCAGGTGTTACTGTGTTGCTAGTGGCCAAGTCATAGATTCCCTGCCTTCTCAGTGGGAATTTCCCTTGGCACTAACACACTGTCCAATGCAATCTCTCCCAGGAGGTGAGTTGTGCACAAATCTAGCCAGGACACCTGGCAAAAATAGTTTCATTCTCAACTGTGCTCCCAAGGGTGATCTGGCACATTGTTCTGCTGGAGACTATGTGCAGGAGCCAGGTCTCATTCCATTTGAGCAAACAATGCCAGCACAGCTCCTTTAAAAACACTCTTGCATTGATGTACCATTATCTGACTGCACTTGACAGCAGATGATCACAGCATTAATCTGCTGTTGATGAACACCCCTTTCTACTGCTGCTCTCCCGCTCTTTATGTGGTGAAATGCTCAAGTGACCATTAATGAAACAAAGCCAAAGCTAACCCCCAGCATAAGTGCAGTTGCAATCGTCATTAACTGGGACCAGTTCCAAAAAGAGGTGGTGTGTGCTCTTGTCAATTGGATTCCACAGACTTGGAGACGATGGACATCTCTTGATGCCCAAGATTCATGCTGGGTGCTATTAATGACAGTTCCTGTTAGCACAGACTCCCCTGGGTTCATTCCAAAGGGCTTGTTATGACATCTTTTGTCTACAAAGCCATGGTTTCTCCTTTCCCTGAAAGCAAGGGAAGTCCAGAAGGAATCTCTTATGCCTGACAATGACACCTGATTGTGATGACATACATGAGCCAGGTCCAGCCTAACCTGGCCGAGCTCTCTCTTTCCCAGTTGCTGTGGGATCAACGCCGTTATGTCCTGTAACCCCTGTTTAGGGCCTGTGGAGCTTGTCTCTGAATGGCCTGGGCTGCTTCATTTTGTTTTGGGAAGCAACTCAGCCTTCAGAGAGTAAAAGATCCTTTATCTGACTAAAGGGCACCACCCTTCAAAGAAAGAGTGAATGAAAGAAAGAAACAATGATTGGGGTGTCACTTTCAACAAGTGAAATGAAATGGCCATGTGATAGCAGCATTGACTATGGCATGGGAAAGGGCTGCTCGGGTGTAACTAACCTCCCTGAAAGCAGCAGAGGGAAAGAATGAAGACAGGCTGCTATATACTTTATTAGACTAACTGAGAGCTCTTTGGAGTCAGTTCACTAATACAGTATTGAAAAGCCATTTCTTTTTTTCTTTGCTTCCAAAAAGCAGCAGCACTGAAGTGGTTAAGTCTGCTGGGACAGAGCACTATAGTCACACTGCCATTTTTCACTTGCCAACCTTCTAGAAAATACTGCACTGGGTCATTGGGCAGAATCTGTGGGACTGTGAGCTAAGCATGTCGCCCTGTGGGTATAAACAGAGTCTCATGATAAAGATCAGTTTGACAATGTAAGACTTTTCCACAGGAGGAAACGTCAGACCACTAGTATCTGGTACATTACTAGAAGGTAGGCAAGTGGAAAGATTTATTTGTTAAAACAAACAAACAAAAATAATGGTTTTTTGGGATCACAGTTTTGCCATGGCTATTTCCTGAGATGCCATGGAAGAAAAAGACATTCCATTCCATCCATCTTGCTTTCCTTTCCGTTTGTGCATGTCTGCAAAAGAGAGAACTGAAAAGGAGGAGGAAATGTATCCCCCGAGCATGCACTACGCACCAGCGGGATACATTTTGGTTACCCCCGTACGTTGGTAGAGCCCGACCTGGTTACGCCATCCCCATTTGGAAAGGTCACGCTCATTGGCACTAAAGCATGTGGGAAGGAATCGTTGTCAGTACCCGCCACAGAGAGTGGCCAGACCCCCACCACCAACCATTCCCTGTGCCCTGGTGGCTGGTGCTCCCAGCCTGTGCCAACCAGGTCCGACTCGCTAACACCGATGGCTACATTTTTTGAGTTCTGTTTCTTTTTTAGTTCATTCCAACCCCCTGATGACATCATAGCGCTAACGCTTTGCTTCTTCCCTTTCTTTTCCTTTTTTTTCTCCTTTTACTTTGGAAAACGTTCGGCTTTGCACAAATGCATCATTTAAATTTTTGAATACATTTTTTACAGAATATTCATACAATGACTTCTCTTTCAATGCAGTCCTCTCTCTCTCTTGTGGCGCTAGGATTCAGCTTCAGAAAAGGCCCTGAGCATTTTTTTTTAGTGGTAGGTGCAGCATCTCACCTCTCGGTCTAGCTAGACTAGCTGTGGAAGCAAGGGGCAGGAGTCACGTTTGTTAGGACCAAAATGCCATTTAGCCACTGAATTTCCAGTTGTTCCCATGGGAAGTGAGGTTAGCCGATCAGGCCTGTAAAAAAACACAGAGGAGAGCAGGGCTACTTCCCCAGAGGGGTTTTCATTTCTCCAGATCCTAGCCCAGTCCAAATAGACTTAGCAGTGAGTCGGCCCTTTTGTAAATCCTGATTCAAGTCAGGGCCAAGGTGGCCCCTGGAGGACTGGGAATGACACCAGCAGAACATCTCCAGTAGCTCTCTTACCTAAATGAAGGACATGAGATGGGGCAGTATTCAACTAGATTTAGAGATTCAAAAAACACACTAGAGATCTAATCACTTATACATATTCATTTTAGGATAGAAAAAGTGGTAGAGCAGAACCTGACCCTAAAAAGAAAGCCACTTTTAGGTCCATCACCTCCACCCTGGCCTCCAGCTTCAAGAGACGTAGGTCCTCCAAAGATACGGTAAGAGGAAGAAGAACAATTCTGCCCTCTCTCTTTCTCTCTCTCTCTCTTTCTCTCTCTCTCTCTCTCTTCTGCCATCCCATTGACTGCCACACACTCATCCCGAAGCTGCCAGTGTACATGCATAGCCTCATGTTCGTCGACAGTCAGTCAGTGAGTCAGTGAGTCAGTCATCCCATGTACCTCAAAGGATTCTGGGATCCTGGAGGGCAGGCAGGAGATGGTTTGTAGTCCTGTGACGAGTTTGAAGATGCTACCAAGTTTTTTTGTTTTGTTTTTTGACTGGATGATTTTTGAGTTTCCTCTCTTTTCTTTGCTCACCTTATTGGTGCTGATCTTTTGAAACCGATGACATTTTTTTTTTCTGTTCCTGAGTGTTCCTGTACCTGTTTGTCATTGTATGCCTAAAACAATCACCCTGATTTAATTTGGGCACTGTCTCACCTCACGAGAGCCATGCGTGTTGCATTCTATACATGTGATTTTTGTTTGTGATTGATAGCTTTCGGGACTTAGTCCTCAGCGCACAAGTGGCAGCTGTCTCTGGTTATGACCAGTATTAATGCAGCTCTAAAAGAGAGACATCAGTGGTTAAAAGAGGAGTTTTGGAAAAACCCAACCTGATTCAAAAGCTGTATTTTTCTGCTTGGAGTAAAACTCCTTCTGTGAAATTAGAGGAAGTTTGTAAATTGTTGCCTCTAAAGTGCAACGACTGTCAAACAGAAATAACATGTCTTCTCTTGATAGAATTTCAGAGCCAAATCAATCAGGTTGGGCTGCCGAATCTGTTGAACTAAAAGATAATGCCCCATCTGTCCCCTCTGCATGACGCCTTTTGTTGTATGGCACTCTCTGCACTTTGGCTAATTTGTTGTAGCGTTCGGAGGTGGGAGATGCATTTTGCTGCCAATTAACGATCCGCTGAAATCGCCTCCTGCCGTGGTCTGCAGGTGTGTGCCCAGTGCAGGGTTGCTCAGGGTGGGTTCCCATCGAGGCTGTTAGAGACATGATGCATGGCTGGGAATGAGGAAGCCTTCTGCTGAAGTGGGGTGGCAAAACACAGCCCACCACTTTCTGCAGTGCAGCTCATCTTCATAGGGCTGCAGCCCATAGAGGCCACAGGGACTCCGAGGGACCAGCATGTGCTGTCCCATGGTCACTCTGGGCCCTGGCTCTGTATGCAAAATGGAGGTGACTCCATTTTATGCTAATGCAGGCTTGATCCCAAGAGGATCCCAGGAGCACAACTTGGATGAGGCCCAATGCGCAGCAGCAAGCTGCCAACTGAGCCCTCAGCTGGGCTGTGTTGGGCTGCCCCTTCCTTAGAAGCCCCTGCTGCTTCTGCTGCTGCCATCTCACAGAACAAGCTGTCATCTCAGGGCACACAGCACATGCCACGGGTAGCCTGGGGGCAGCCCCCCTCCCCTTGAAGAAGGGATCAGACATGAGTAACAGCTGAACATCCCTGCTGTTACTAATGCTGTCCCCATAATGCTCTCTAGGCAGGAAATCTCCCCACGCCTCAGCCTGCACCGGTGAGCTCCCCTGGGGACTGGTGCCCGCCCATCACCATCCTGCGCAGGGGCTGGAACCCAGTGCAGCTCTGCAGGCCAGCCGGTGAGGGTGTCACAGCGACCGTCCTCCACGAGTTTACTCCCCTGGAAGGTGACTGTGGCTGTGGCTTTCTCCACAGCTTGAAACACTGAGCATGGGGGAAGAGGGAGCACAGTGTGGGGAGCGAGGAGGAAGAGCTGCAAGTGCAGAGATGGGAGGGCATAGGGAAGAAGACCCATGGGTATGGGGGCTAGGGAGGGAGGGAGGAGAAACCAGCCTGGGTGTGGGGGAGAGGGGAGGGAGTGAGGAAGTAGAGACATGGGTACGGGGCATGGGGAGTGGTGTGGAGGGGCAGGGAGGCTTGGCAGGGGTGGCCTGGACAGTTCATTCATGTCTGTTGTGTGGTGCTTGCGACTGCAAGTCCCAAAACCAGGATTAAGGAAATTACAGATTAGAGGCCCGTACTTGCACCCCTCAGTGCTACCTCCGAGGGGCAGGGGGCTGTAGGGCGAATGAAAGGCGTTCGTGTTCTGGACTGGGGTAGTGCCATGGTGAGCTGAGTGTGGACTCCAGGTAGGGGAGCTGCTCACAGGAAGCGTGGTGGAGTTAGTGCTCTGCTTGGGTGGAGAGGGTGGTTGAGCGTGAGTGAATGGTTGTAATTTATGTCAGGGTCCATGGGGCTGTTACAGTTTAACTCTGCCTCTCATATCCCTTTTGCATGTCAGGACAGCCGAGGCCCCAGACTACTGTGCTCTCTCCTCAGTGGGGGAAAAAGGTGGGAAGCCACAATGAGAGGCTTGGGCAGGGCCTGTACCAAAAGCCTGGCCCCATTCACTCACAGCCTACCTCACTGAAGGCTTGGCTCCCTCTGACATGTGGGGTTGAGCAGCAGGTTGGGTGTAGCTCCCTTGTATAGTAGTGATAGAGCAGTGGCCATGGTCTCTCTGCTTTGCAAAGAAAGCAGTGACACAGGGGCCTTGACAGCTTGGGTTTGCTCAGATGGTCTGCCTGAGGCAGCAGAGTTGCTGGGAGCCGAGCACCCCTCTGCCCTGTATGCAATCTCCCCTGGCAACTGTGTGCCCTGGAAGCAAAAGCTAGTGTCTGAACAGGCCTTCCCCTTGAAAGCAGACAGAGCCCTGCAGCAGAAGAGGGACAAAATCCCACTGCCCCAGCTCGCTGCCCTAATTTGCGGGGTTGCTGCATCTGAGGAGCCCTTCAAAAAGAAGCACTGTCTCGTGGTTATGATGCCAGCCTGGAGATGAAATTCCTTCCTCAGAAGGGGCAAACAGATGTGTAGGAAGGGATGGTGCAACTCATGCATGGCCTCTTGGCCTCAGAGCACACAGACCTTTCAAAGGGATGGTGCTGACTTATGGTAGGAGCACCCCCACCTGCAGCCACCAGGAGGGAGGGGCAGAGTACAGGCGCTGTCCCCATGCATTTGGTTCTGTAGGTGCAAGGCACATTCCTCCCACCTGTCCTGTAGGCAAGTAGCATTGCATAGTCCTGGGCTGTGCACAAAGAGAACAGGCATGGAGACAGAACTCATGCCTGCCCCCAGAGGGTGCAGGGAGCTATGTTCTGGCAATAACATGTTTGGAGCCATGGCTGCACTAGGGGAAAGTATTTCCTTTTAGCCTTTGTTTGCTAACTAACCCAGGGGGGCAGAGTCTGTTACAGCCCCACCTGCAAAAAGCTAGTTTCTTAATCCAGGCTGTAGAAACCCATGCTATTATGATGGCCATCCCCTCGTCCAGCACACAAGTGTAGCATGTCTGGTAGCATCCAGCACTAGCTACCTCCCATGGTAATTTTGCTGATGCTCCCTGGGGGATTGCCCAGAGGGGTGCAGTGACACACTCAGCGGTGGGTCCCACTGATAGCTCTGGGGTACAAGTCCAATAAGAACCAAGTTGGTGGCTGTGACAGCCACCTAGTATTATAGTAGGCTTCTGTCATTTTGTTAGTATAGATTGGGACAAGTGTTACTGAAGGGTAGGTGAGCTGGCTGTTACCACCTCTGAAAACAATGCTAGAAGTGCCATCTCCTCAAAGACATCACTACCATGTGGGCTGTTATAGAGGACAGGAATTCTGATTGGCTAATGTCACAACAGATCATCCAGCAACCAGTTGGTATTCCCAGTGGCTAGAGCAGAGGACTCACAATGACAACCTGTGCTGCTTCTCTGCTCTGGTACAGAAAGCCTGATGTTCTCATGTTGTGGAAAGCTCCACTTGTCTCAGGCAAAAACAGAGCACATAGTCTCCTGGGGACAGGTGATCTTCCAGGACTATGTCTCCCTATTACAGATGAGCACAACAGCCAGCTGCTGTCTTTTGAGTATATCAGGTGCAGCCTACAGGCTCAAGCAGACAGCCATCCCAGGCCTCAGATGGGCAAGGTTTGGGCGCACACAGGCTACAACAACCTGTAGAGCTAGAGGGGGGGAACTCTCCAGCAGCAGGGAGTCTATCCAACCTGGAAACACACATGAAAGATGCAAAGCTGGCAGCCTGCTTCTTTCCTTGTCATTGTCTGTGTTTTTAAAGGTGGATTCTATTCTGCAATCCCACAGAATGACCCCCTTAGAGCGCCAGAGAGACATGATGGCACTGTGGATCCCAAGATGCCCCCTGGGAAAGAATCAGCCCCTTGGAAATCACTCTGGATGTTCTAATCCCCACTGATGCCATCTGAGATGCACAGCCTCTCCAGTGACAATACTTGGGGTGCACATAATCCCCACAGACACAGCAGGACATGCGTTTATTCCCCATAGGTAATTCCTGCACCTCACATAATGCCCATAGAGCTGATGTATTAATGTCCGTTGCAACCACCCAAGATGTTACAGTCCCCAGGGAAGCCCCCTGAGATCCTGTAAAACACACACACACCCCTACCAGGATGTCATATACCCCAGAAACACTAGAGAAACTGCATTGCATCCATTAGCTGCTCCTGGACATGTCCCCAACCTCACAGAAATTATACCACACCTTGTATGCCCTGGGGAGGCACAGTTTATTCCCACAGATAAGCACAAAACTGATAACAGACACCCCCCCTCCCCCGCCACCATACGAGTTGCACGGTGTTGTCATGAATGCCTATTCAGTTATAACTGATGTATTTTAGTCCAGCCTGTCAGAAGATCATGGGGGTTCTGCAGAAATTTTTGACTTTTCAATTAAAAACCAAGTATTTTTGCCCTCAAAATTACCAAATAACCAGTTTCCTAATAGAAAAATTGAAGAAAACAAACACCTCCCACAAGCCTTGCATTTAGTTAAAAACACAATTTTAAATAAAAAAGACAACCCAGACTATTACATGTGATTTATAATATGATCCCATGTTAGATTAAATTGATTTTAAAAGACATTAGGTTGTTGCCTATATTTTTTCTTCATGGTCTCATTACAAACCAGGCTTTAGGTTGTGCAAGTACCTTCCTTTCATTTCCATACCTTGCCATGCTTGAGTCCTTTTGTAGTTAAGATTAACTCTTAATTTTGGTGTGATAATGTTTTGTTTTGGGCTACTTAAATCATTCCTGTAATGTAAATATCCTAAATTACTGATATATAGTCATAACTTTAATTCTATTTTAACGTACTTTATTTTTGGAAATGTCCTTGTTTTTTAAAATTATTATCACATGGACACTAATAATGCAAGAGCACTATACAAGGAAGTCAAAGAGTACGTCAGCATGGGAGAATTCTAAGATTGGGCGAGATATATTTTTTAGCCTGAAATCCTTTTCCTGCAGTTAAACTTTTATGGCCAAATTCACCAGTATCTGGCTGCTTTGTGCCATTTTGGAATTGTGCAAATGTCCCAGACTGCATTGGCCTGATAGATTCCGTTTATTGGTACTTTGGAGAGCCACACAATGAGTCAAACTGCACACCCTGGTTTTCCTCTTTCCTGCTCTCCACATTCCCTCATATACCGCTTCTCCAAAATCCAAGCTCTTCCTACACATCCTTGTATTTCCTTTCATGTACATGCATACGTGCACATGCCAGAATTGCTAAGTCCTGTGAATAAATTGCAATTAGCCCATTAGACTTGGGCTCAGTGACTCCAGAGGCTTCAGCCCTCGTGCATTTTTTCAGCCATGCTCAAGCAAAAAAAAAAATTCTCTGGGCACAGTTACTGTGTATTAAGTTTAGTACTTGTATAACCAAGTACTATATCAATGTGCACTAACTGGCACTACTGTGCAGTAATGTTGGTGTACAGCTTTTTAGTGACACTAACTGTGCAGTAGCCTAATACGCACAGTAGCGTATTAACATGGTTTTTGCCCTGCTTGCTACTGCACAGTAGAATTAGGCTACTGTGCAGTTAGCATCTCCTGTAGACCTGCCCTCTGACTGGTTTCCTGGCCCCTTCCCAACCTCTGACCTCATTGCCTCCCTGTTCTTCCCACCACCTTCTCCATCACAGGCCTGGGAAAGGGAAGCAGAGGAGCTTCCAGCAGCAACCTTTTCCCCTCCTCCAGCTGGAAGAGTGAGTGAAATGCCTTAGAGCACTGAGAATTTGGTGCCTGGGCTGACAGATGTGTGGCTGGACTGATGGTGACTGGAGGCAGTGATGATATAGTTGGCTGGGGGGAGAGAGAAGTGCATGTATAGGTAGGTGAGGACACAGCACCAATCTGCTGCAGTGCTTGGGGGTGAAGCGGGAGGCCCGCAGCACCAGGCAGTCTTATGCACGTGTGTATGGTTCACACTCAGCTGGGTCTTTCCGGCTAGAGCTCCCTCAGCAGGGCTGTTGTCCTCTCCGTCAGGGAGCAGGTCATCCTCCCCTCTCATCACAGGGCATGGTGGGTGTGGGGGGGTTCCAACTCAAAAGATTGACCAGAAATTCACAACCTGATCTTTCTTTTTTAACCACCTCCCCCATTTTGTAGGCTTACCTCTTTTTTATTTTTTTTTGGAACATTGTTGTTGGCAATCCTGTGCATGTGTGCATATGTGTGTACATGCCTGAACACACACAAACATGTTAGCTTCCCTTTTTTGCTGCCTTCCATGCTACACATTGTTATCTTTAAAAACCAGGTGTCATAATTGGCTACTATTCTTTCTAATTAAAAATATTCCTTCTGCAGAGATTGGTGCATAAAAATCTTTGCCTTCAGATGACACTCAAAGCTTCCTTGTTTCAAACTGACTGCTGTCGCATAACTGAAGTTCTCAGTGGGCATAAGGTTCTTAGCCAAGATAGCCACTGCCTCCCATATTTATCCAGTGGGAATGCAGCTATATCACCTTCAGTGTGAAGCTGTCAGGAGGCAAAAGAGGAGCACTCTGAAATTCAGATTAAGGGATTTGGTGAACAGGCTGCAGAGGTAGCTTGGCACCAGGGGCAGCAGTGGCACAAGAGGTAGTGGGTGCTTCCCGAGTGCCAATGTCTATGTTATAGCCAGCTGGTGGCAGTATTAGCTGTTATTTCCTTGCCCTGCCATCCAAGTTGGCACCCAGAGCTGCTGCCCCAGTCGTGCCACCCTAGTTATGCAGCTAACAGCCTGTTGCCTATGATCTACTGGGCACGTCTACATGAAACATTTACTGTGGAGCTGCCTAATTAGCTCCACAGTAAATGTCTCAGCATCTACACATGCAGCCCTATTCAGCCTCAGTAAATTAATTCCACCACAGATTAGTTCTTGTAAATACATGTACTATTCTGTGGCAGAGTTTTTTACTGCGCAACAATGCACATGTAGATGCTGATGGGGCTGGCTGGAGCATAAGGGTGCTTTAGTGTGGGGGCTACCTGCCAGCTAGCCCCATGCTGGAGCACCCTTGTACCCCAGCCAGCCTTTCTGCAGCATGTTGAGCTGGATCAGAGCAGCTCCGGGCTGGCAAGCTTGACCCCCTAGGCCTCCTGCCAGCTGGGGCTAGCTCTGACCCAGTTCAGCAGTCACAGGCGCATGTTCAAGTGTGGCGCCTGGGAGCAATAAACTCTGATGCGATATGTGCTGGAGCTTATTGCTGCACATTAATAGCAGTGTGAGTGTGCCCACTGAGAATTGTAGGAGCTGACACTCATTTTGAGAAAGGGAAATTCTTGATGAGTTTTCTTTCTTAGACCAAAATAAAACCCTACATACTGCACCAGATCTACTCAGAATTCACCACTGTACCCAGGTTTGTGTAAACAGATGAGGGCTGAGGTGGGATTGTATGGGCCAAAAAATGGCCCAACTAAAAATACTTAGAGGCTCCATTTTAACATTTTTTTATCTCTGTAAACTAACCAGTGGATTTGCTTATCATCTCCAACATATTCATTCAAGGAGTAATTTGTATGTGGAATTCATAGTATATTCTTTGTATTTAACAAGAAGATTGGATTCCTGCCTTCAGTGTAAAATCCACTTTAGTCTTGTCTATGGAGCTGTAACTTATTCCTCCTTCATTTATACACAAATCTATCAACACAAACACTATGACACTACAGCCCCCAAAGGAACCACCACGGTCTTTATCTTTGAATAAAACACTCACAGTCCAAGCACCCATGCCATAAGCCTCTATATCCTTTGAAAAGCTGTAATTCACAGGCCTGATATGTGCACATATCATAAACTCATAAAATCTGTAAATAAACTACACACAGGAACAATACAAAATGACAAAATACCAACAAATACAGTTTGTTGGTATATAGTCATTCATAACATAGTACAAGGCACAAGTAAGCACTAGCTGAGAGTATTCTTAGAGACACACAACCCACAGAAAAGTTAATGGGCCACTGATCCTTATACACCATCTGAGACCTCTTTGTGTCTCTGGACTCCACAGTTGATGCCATCTCTCTCACACATACAACCTGTTTATCAGAAGTGGTGCAATGTACATGTCCATCTGAGTGTTCAATAGTCTTTGTTTGGTATAGAAACCGGCTCTGGATTTCTGTGTTCAGAGGGCAGGTCTCAAGTCAGGGCAGCAGAAAGCAGTTAATAGTGGGAGGTGGAGGAGAGAAAGAGTAGAAGATAGCTCCCAAATGGATGGAAATTGGATGTTTTGCTCTCTAGGCTTGCTCCAATGGCTACTGGAATCCATAGCCGTCGTTCCATTGACGTCCGCAGGCACTGGCTTGGGCCCTGTAGTATCCAAGTGGGGAAAAAAGAAGTTAAGGTTGACAGGCCATATCTGGATCCATAAAGAACATGACTTTTTCTTCTGGGAATTGCTGGGTGGTATTACCTTTTCTCCCAGACTTCATGGTGGTGGGCTTGAAGGATGCAGCTCTGTGCCAGGGGTTATGCTGCTCAGGCAGTGAGGTTAAGAGCAGTGAAAAAGAATGTCTGCCTAGTTTTGAAGCCTTTCTTGGGGAAAGGAGATAGTTTGGTTCCTTCCAATTTAAATTGATCTCTGCCATCCTTACAGCTATTGGCAGTGAGTTGTATAACTAGGATGGCTTTTCCCAGCTAGCTTTTGCCAAATTCCTTCTATGAGGAAAACAGAATCCAAATTCCAGGCCACTTCTCTAATACAGGACCAACGTGGCATTTTCACATTAACAGCTGCCTTTCAGATGATCACAAATAAAGCCAAGTTGCACATTTCTTTACCAATGCGACAGGAAAGGAAAAAACAGAGTCATTGGAACCCACAGGGTAGTGCCCTGACCTTAAAGCAAAGGTAGGCATCGGGAACAAGTCAGATGTTTAAAGCCAGCCAGACTCTCCAAACTGTAACTAACCCAACGGGCTGGCTCTAATCGATTCCTAAGATCTTCTAGTCCAATAGCTCCTCACTGAAGCAGAGGCAGTCACTCAGTAAGCGACACAGCTGCCATATTCTGTAGAAACTGTACTGTACTCCATGCACTTGTCAGAGATGAGCTGTGGGATGCTTGCCAACTGTTTGCAGTGACCTCTGGACAAGCTTTGACTGCATTTGCAATTGTCTCTTAAGACAGCAGCACTTTTCCTGCTGTTGCATCATCCCTGAGCAATTTCCTGTAGGGATACATGTTTGAACTGAGCGTAACCAGGCAGCAAGTGCTAGGGCTACCTAACACCACGTTCTCCTTGTCTGTGCGTTTGTCTTTTGCAGCAGTATCATCCCACTGACATTACCGGGCAACTCAACCTCTCCGACCCCTCAGTCAGCACTGTGGTGTGACATTCTCCCACAGGAGCCATCGGTCCTAGCCAGGCAGCCTAGGAAGGCACAGCCAGGACTTCCTTTCAAAGTGACACTGATTGGTCTTTACTGGTGAGACAAGAGGGAAGCATCCTTCATCCATACGCAGTGACATCATTGTATATCTCCTTCCCTTCCTAGGCTCACTGGCAATAACAGCATGCCAGGCTGCACCACAGGACCGGGTCCCATTTTGGAACTTCATTGTACAAAGACAACTGCTTCCAATCAGTGCTGTTTTTAATCAGTATTGCCACTGGCTGATCATGTGCTGGACTCAAGGAAAGAACAGCTCTGCTGCACCGTGGCACCTGTCCTTCTTGTGGAACAAAAGCAAGAAGAGCAGGGATGATTGCAAACATATCTTCCTTGACAGGGGGAGGAGAGTCATTTGCTACAATCCTGCTTGTTCGTGAGTGCATGCATACCCTACGCAACGTATTTCACACAACACTGGAGGACTATGGTGTGATGTGCTAGCATTCCCAGCGCAGTGGATGATTGTACATAGCTGATCATGCTTCTGTTCAGTGTGTCTGTTTCAGAGACAGATGCAGCCTTAGGGGACAGTGATCAAACAGGTGTTCTCTGTGGCTGTAGCTGGGACAAGCCTTTTCAGCTCTTCCTTTCCAGATGATCATGAACTCCACCCTTCCCTCCTCCATCCCACCTGCCTGCACAAGAAACCTGCACTGCTCTTGGCTCCCACCAGAGTAGGCTGTTTTTACATAGCCCTTGTCATGTGTGGGGAAGACCTGGTGATATGTCTCTCACTCGTTTGCCCCTTGACCACACTCATTCACCCTGGTTTGATGGGAGTGGCTTAGAAACACGTTGCTGGCTGTGCAACCGTTGGCTAAGGTGCTTTCCACACACTTCCCTCGCACATCTTCCGCACACGAAACCTTCATGAGGCCCCAGCCACACAAAGCAAGTGAGGATGCCCAGCTCCTCCATTAACATTTGTAATACTATAGTAGGGGGTGGGGGTTGCTGCTTGCACCAGGCACTGACAGGTACTGGGCATGTGTCATGATAATAGGCTGTGGAAGTGCTTCCCATCCCTCTCCATTTCCACTGTTCCTCCTTGTCCCAGCTTCTGCCAGATTCCTTTGGGGCACTGCACTTCCTATCAATCTGATGAGAAAGGCTCTCTGTAGCAGTGAGATGCCTTCCAGCTGAATGAGCCCAGGAGGTTCTGGTATCCCTGCATGGACTCTCCAATCCTGCTCTGTTGGCCTGTTGCTTGTAGGTCATCCTTGGAGCATGTACCCCAAAGTGCCCATACTGGCTGGATGCTCAGATCTTCCCTGAGGCACGACCTGGCTAGCAGCACAGCAGCAACACCAGTGGGCCTCGGCCAGCACAGAGTCCTGGTGTGTACAGAGATGGGACCTGGCCCATCCTGCAGCTGTGACCTGATTCTCTATCTGCCCTCAGTGAAAATGAGACCAGTTCAGAGATTGGGATAAGACAGGCCTTACCACCCTGCCTTTCTGCAATAGTGCCTCCCCCTCATACAGGACAGTGTGCATCATTCTGCTGGCTCCCACAAACCCTTCTGTGCAGGCAGTGGGGAATAAGCTTAGTGAGCCCCTTCCTCCACCCTCACTGCAGCCTGCTCTCAAGCAGTGTACAGCTGGTGGCCCTGCTCTGCCTCTGTCCAGCTGCCCTGGGTGCCAGCAGAGCTGCTGCTGCTGTTACCCTTTACTAGGTGAGATGTAGATACATTTTTTTAAAAGCAAACCCATCTGCACTGTTGACACCAGAACACCGAGCCTTCTGCTTAACCTGCCCCCAGCCCAGCATGGCCAGCCAGTGGCATGCAAGGAGCAGCAGCCGCTGGCTTGCCCCTTCGGAAAGCTGGGCTGGACACTGAGGACTGGTGGTCATTGCAGAAGGAGCTGCACTGTGCAGCATTCCCAGGACCAGTGGGCCTAGTCATCAGCTGGTGTAATAGGTCATAGCTCCCTGGATTAATGCAGCTCCGCTGAGTCCAGTAAGGTGATGCCAGTTTATACCTGATGAGGATTCAATCTTTTATCCTTTATACTTTGCTGTAATGTAACTTAAGACACAGGTTTTGCAAGAGCTGAGTAAAGTCCCGGCGCAATGGTAAAGATGAGTACTGCAGTGCCACATGCCTCCTTCCATGCCGTAACTGTTGAAAAGTTGAGCCTCAGCGGCAACCCCCACACTGGCAGATCACCTCAGAGACTCACCTGGTGTTGTTTGCAAAGAGTCTTTACTAAAAGCCAGAGACAGAAGCCGTGCAGAGGGGAGGGCTGGTGCAGGAGCCCCCAAAATCTTGAGGGCCTGTGAAGCATGTGCAAGGGTCCAGAGCCAGACTGTTGATCTGCACCTGACCCAGCTTTCTAGACATGCCTAGGACATGACCAACTGTGCCAGGCCCCTGAAAGGAAGTGCCATGCCAGCTGGCTGGAGCAGGCCCACGCTGAATGTATGCCTGCACATGAGTGCATCCCAACCCTGGCATCTCCCTGGCCTCTGGCAGTCCTGCAAGTCAGCCACAGCCCAGGCAACCTCAGACATCTACATTCATTAGCAGCAGAGGTACAGCAAGCTTATTATGGGGTGGGAGGGAGGAGGGGGTAACCCATTGCTGGGTACAGGGGCATGGGGGTGAGGGTAGGGGAGTCTTAATTGCATGGGCTCTCTGTACACTGAAGGCAGCTGCTATAACTGTGACTGCAGCAGTATCCACTCAGGTAGCAACAGCCCTATGACCTGGGTTCCATGAAGCTGGGCTTCGTGCCCTGCTTGTTTCCTTTCACCCCCAACTATACTATGGGGCACCAAGCTGTGCCTGCTGTGACCAAAACTTGCAAGGGGGGGGAAACTATTCCACTTGCCACCCACAGATACACTGCTGGGTGCAGGGCTGCACTGTCTAGCTGCTCTGGGCAGGCAGTGCAGGGCTGTCCCTGCAGCAGCAAAGTCTTCTTGGGAGCAGGGTAGATTCTGGCACCCTGTCACAGTTGGCACCCAGGGCTAGGTCCTGCCCCCCCCAGTTACGCTATTGATCATCATTCTACAATCCTGGAGATTTAGATCCTGCCCTCTTTTATTCATTAGCATAATTAAGCGATCTGTTACATGCCTAAGGACAAGTTCAGCTGCAGCTCCTCCTTCAGCTGCTGCTCCTCCAACACTTCCAGGTTAAAAGCAAGCATAATTAGATCAGTTTGGAAATCTGTCTGCATCTGTCTCCCTCCTTGACACTCGTCACAGCTGGCATTGAATTTAAGTAGGCACAGGCTGTGAAGGATAAGCCCGGTATAGCTGGGCCCCCTGAGTTAAGCCAGCATTTCTGTTAGTGTGCAGTGCTGGAGGGTGTCAGAGATAGTGCCTAAGGACAGTACATTTCCTCCGTGCTGTGCTGCTGCCCCACCAGTTCCCCTTGCTTCAGTGCAACTGTGCTGACTTGCACCTGCAGGGCTGTCTGCTGTGTGCAGTGGCTGTAGTACAGGAGCAGTACTCCCTCCCCCTGCACACATTGGGTGCTCTGCCTGCAGGAACTACCCAAATGCTACTGGAGCAAGGAGGTGATATCTTTTATTGACCAACTAGATACTTGCAAAAAAAATATTTATTTGCAAGCTTTCAGGCACAGGCACCCTCCATCAGGGAGAGATCCTAGGAGAACTTTTATAATCTTTGCAGTGTCCTATGCCTGATGAAGGGTGCCTATGCCGGAAAGCTTGCAAATAAAGACTTTTTTTTTTTTTAAATATCTAGTTGGTCTAATAAAAGATATCACCTCTGCCATGAGTTCTGATTCCTTTTGCCTCTAGACCAATATGACTACAACCTGGATGCCTGACACTAGAGCAAGGAGTCCTTCTAAGTATTGGGGATCACTGCAAGTGGCTAGGGTGTGAACGTGCTGGTACCCTGGCCCAGTCCTGTTGTCCAGGACTGAATATCAGAACAAAAGCAGAGAGACTGGGGCCTCTGGGAGCCTGAGCTGCTTTCTACCCTTGCCACAGGTTAGGGGGCTGCTCTTGTCAGCCACCTGAGATGGAGGTTCCTGTTTGTCTGTCTAGATAAGGGGTACTCAACCTCGAGCCTGCAGGCCAAATGCAGCCTGCAGGGCCATGGCATCAGGCCTGCAGGGCTTTCCACAGGTCAGGAAAATTAGTGCCAAGGGAGCAGTGGCAAATACTACTGCCACCTCTCCCTGCTGCCAAATTCCCAGGCCCCCTGTTCCTGCACAGAGGAACTTGCCCCCTTCCTTCTGTGGGTTGAGGTCAAGCTCCCTCCCCCCACCTCTGCAGGGCCTGGTTAGGGTTGGATCAGGGCCAAGCTCCCCTCCACCTCCCTCTGCATGCCTGGATGGGGCCCCACTGCACCTGCCCTGGGCAGCAGATTGGGATCACTGGCTAAATCCAGCCCATGGATGGACTGGGCACTGCCCATCCAGCCTGCCAGGCAACAGTGTTGAACACCAAGGTCTGTCATTCCCCTGGCTCTTGGTGGCAGCTACAGAGGATACGAACTGGGCTCCTGCCTGAGGAGGGAGGGAAGGGAAGGCCCCACAGCATGAGGAGCACAGCTCATAAACCCTGGGGCACTGGCGACTCATCCCTCCCAGAGCTGGATGCACTTCCCTGCCCTGGCTGCAAGCTGGTGCCAGCCTGGCATGTCCCTGCCCTGCCCAGTGTCTTGTATCACCACAGCTCTTCCCTGCCCCATCCCAGAGCTACTGCTGGGGCAGTGTCATCCTGGGTCGTGGGGCTCTTTGCCGAGGGTAGGGGTCTTTGCTCAGCTTGTTGCACGCCACAACCAGGCAGCCAGTTAGGATGCAGATGATGATGCTGCCTAGGAAGGAGGCTGGGCCAATGAGCAGGAAGAAAGCATAGTCGTGTGGATGCAGTGGGCTCTCCTGGCAGTGGCTGAAGGAGGCATTGTCAAGGGCTGCAATGGGAAACTGGTTGAGCAGCTCTGGGAATTGGCACACGGTCAGATTCTCCTCTGCAAGATGAAAAGAAATGCACCAGTCAGCTCCTGACTTGCCAGCAAGGGCAACTTCCATTTTGCCTTGCCTTTGTGGACATGATGAAAGGGCAGAGGTGCCTAGCACCATCAGCAAGGGATGAGGCAGGAGGGCTGGGCAGGGCACTGCCAGGGCAGGTGGGACAGCATCACTGGCACAGGGGGCCACCTTAGGGCCAGGATGGCAGAGTCAGAGCGATGCAGAGGAATGTCACTGAGGTTGGGCAACTGTTGCAGCTGGGAAAGATCAATGCCCCAGTTGCCCACATCAGCCTCAACATGGTACTGGCCTCCAGGCTGTGGGCAGGTGACAGAGGGGCCTGGCCACTCCTTTGGTCAGCACTGAGGGATAACAACCTACAGCACAAGACTGATCCCTCAGGCCATCCCCTCTGAGTCCATGGTAGTTGGGAGGCACCTCTCCCCACAAAACCCATGGCAGGGGTGGATTTGGTGCTTGTGGCAGCTGTTTTTCCTCGGAGTCCGTGGTCATGGGGCAGGGTGCCCACGGGAGCAGTTGAGCTGAAGCTGGGCATCCTGTTGCCTTGGGGAGCACCTCTCTCCTCAGGGCTCACAACAGGGCAGCTCTTCTCCCTGGGGAAGTGGGAGAACAAGGAGGAGGGGGCAAAGGGACACCCATCCACCACCATGGGGTTAAGGGCTCTGCCTCTGCAGAGTGCTCTCCCCATTGCCCAGGCTCTCCTGGGCATCTCCTATGCACCAGCCCCACACTCTTGTGCTCAGATCCCACAGCCTTGCTCCAGCTATGCTGGTGCCATCAGTACACTTACAGCACCTTTGTCCAGGGCCATTCACAGCCTCCCCCCGCTCCCCCACAATGCCCTGCTCATGACAGGTTCACCCTGTGCCTGGTGGCAGCCTGGCCAGCATCTGCCTGAAGACAGAGCAGAATAAGCTGGCCCAGGCCCCAGAACTGGAGGTTTTCTCAGAGAAGGGAGGCAGATGGAAGTCACAGGTACCATCATGGCTCAGCACCAGGCAGCACCTCCTTGGCTCCAGCATTATGGAGGAAGCAGGGAGTACTTCCTGCTGCCCCATGGCCTGGGGCCATGCTAGAGCCACCTGCACCCTAGCAATGCTCCATAAAGCCTTGTGGGCTTGCCATGGACCAAGGGCTGAAACACCTGCCCAGTGGCCAGTCAAGGGGAGGTACTTGGGACTGCCCTTCACCTCAGATCAGAGGGGGCCCAGACTGCTCTTGACCAGCCAGCCCAAGGGTGGTCTGCATACCCACCCCACACCTTTTACCTTGGATCTTGTCCCTGTTGTGGGTGAGCCAGAGGAAGAGGGGCCAGATGGAACAGCTGCATGCCCAGGGGTTGCCCGCAAGTGTCAGCAAGCGTACAGCAGGCAGGTTCTCAAAGAAGCCAGTGTCCAGGGACCGTAGAGCATTGTTGTGCAGAAACAGAGCCTGGAGTTGGGGCAAGGTGCGCGGCACATCTGGGGCCAGCTGGGCCAGCTGGTTGCTGCCCACATTGAGTGTTGTGAGGCTGGGCAATGGCAGGAAGGTTTCTGCTGTGAGCACCACGAGGGAGTTGTTGCTCAGGTCCAGCTCCTGCAGTGCCCAAAGCCCTGCGAGTGCCTGGCTGTGGATGCTCACCAGCACATTGCCATGCAGACTGAGGTACAGCAAGGACCTCTGCTGCAGGAAGGTGTGAGCCTTGAGCCTGGCGATGCGGTTATAACCCAGTAGCACTGCGCTGGCATTGGTGGGCAGGCCACTGGGCACAAAGTGCAAGGCACGGTCACGGCAGTCCACTTCCCCTGAGGAGCAGCTGCAAACATCTGGGCAGGCAGCACAGAGGAGTGGGTACAGGAGGAGGAGAGAGGTCAGCAGGGCTCCCCGACAACTCAAGCTGGCCATGCCCACAAGATGAGACACTGAAGGAAGGACTTAGCTCCCACCCACTCAGTCACGAAGGCAGACTCACCAGGGCAGCGTCCCTGGAGACCTGTTGTGGCTCCTGGATGTCCCCTACCCCCACCTCATTGGGCCGCCTGCCCAGGCCAGAGGAGTGGGGTGGTGGGTTGTGCAAATCCTCCCAAGGAAGCAGGCGCCTTGGAGCTTTCGCTAGTGGCTCACATTCCCTTGCACAAACTTCGGCGTCACCTACACTCTGCAAACATTAACCTGGCTGCTCAAAGGCTGCTGCTTGCCCCGGATTGTGGTTTCTCCAGGGTGGAGCTGCACTTTTCTTAGCAAATATTTTCTAAGAGCAGCTTCTGCTGCCAAGGTGCAGAGCCACAGATCCCCCGCCCCCACCCAGCTACCAGCCAGGTACAACTACTGCTCTGGCATTAACCCCTTGGCACAGAGCTACAGCAGGCATCAGGGAACCCAGCTTGGACCAGATCACAGCAGCAAGAAGTGCAGTGGTGCCAGGGAGGTGAACTTGAACCCAGCCCACCCCAGCCACACTCCACAGAGTGGCTCATGACCAGCTCCAGAGCAAATGTGTCTAGATCCCTCCACATCCCCCACCTCCATTCCTGATGCCTGGGCCAAGCACTGGAGTTCAGGGGGGACACCCTCACCCCAAATCTTGGTGCCCTCCTCAGCCAGCAGCTGAGCCTCTTGCTCTGCTCCCATTCAGTTCTGCCTTTCTCTATTTACCCCACGCCTGCCCTGTGGCAGCTGTTATTGTTTGGGCTGCACAACAGGTCTCTGAGGGGCATAGTACCAGCCATGATACTAGTCCCCACTGGTTTCAGGGGAAGGAGGAACTGTTCTGACAGGGATGGCTGTTGTGCCATTGGTCTCTCAGGGGGCCACTGAGCCATCTTTGATGGCTGGGGTCTGTGATTAGTCTCTTGGAGCATTGTGCAAACTCTTGTGGCCAAGCTGCATCACCAGTCCCTGGGTGGTACTGTGTAAGCTGCCAGCTGCGATGGTGAGGCTCTGCCTGTGGACTCTCCAGGGTCACTGTGCCAGCTTTTGCAAGGTGTGCTACTCGGCTGGCACAGTAGAGAGTGCCAGCCGAGTGAGAGCCACAGTGCCAGCTCTAGAGGGGATTGCTCTCTCTCCCCTCAGCAAGGTCCCTAGAGGAAATGCACTTCCTGCCTTCTTCTTTAGGGTCACCTCTGCCACCATGGGGCACCAGCTGCATATGATTCTGGACTTTCCACCAACCAAGTGGGGGCCCCTGAGGCTCAGCTGGACAGTACAGACTGGAGTGCATGTGTCAGGAGAGGAAGGCACCATCCTTCTGCACACTCTCTATCCCAAGGAGGCCAGGATTTGACAGCAGGGTGCTGTCTAGGCTGAAAATAGTATTTGGATCCTGTTAAGAACTGACTTTTGTTTCTCACTGGAGCACATACAGTCTCCTTAACACTAAGTCTCCACCCCACCCCCTGCCGCACATCCTAGCTTATGGAATCTCAGGGTTCCTCAGAGCTACACAATAGCACTATGGCTGGTGCCTCTAATCAAGGGTTTGGTCTCTGACCTGTTAGTGCAGAAGAAGATAAGTCTCCTGCCTCACTCCTAGTCTTTCCCTGGCAATCCAACACCATAAGCCAAGTGGATGGGTTCCAGGATCTCATTCAGCAGCATCCTAGGACCTGTGGTAGCCATGGCCCGATCAGCTGACAGTGGGCTCCTAACTCAAAATAACTGCATTCTAAGTGGCCATGAAGTGGGAGGAAAGGTGAGCCTACAAATACAGAACACAGTGAAGGCAGCTGTGTTGGGGCCACAACATTGACCTTGCTTGTTCACAAACTGCAGTACAAAAACTGGCTGAAAGAAAACAAATGGGAGAACCTTGGAAAGAGCAGAGCACCTGAAGTGCTCCATGCTGTGCTCTCTCATGGGAATTTGCTATCATAGATGATTTTAGATGCATTTTCTGGATTGCGCTGATTTTCTGAAGTGAGGTTGATGGACTGGGACTTCACCATGAAGAGCATGGTCAGTTCGTTGGGGTCCAAGATTTCAAGGCTGGAGTCTGGGAGGAAAAAGAGAAAGCACATTGGAGCTGGTGTGATGGGAAGCACTCACAGGCTTCCAGAGCCCCAACAGAGGGCCCGATGCTGGGCTCAACCCCTGGACAGCCTGGGCCCCACATACAGCTTTCAGAGGAAAGGTGCATGCTTCTCCATGGACAAACTGCAAGTGCTGGCTCACAGGAAAACACAGTCTTCTACAGAGAAATATGACACACCAGCCAACTGCCCCAAGATCTGGAGAAGCGTCCGGTAAAGTCAATGAACCTGAGGAGCAGGTTCTAGCAAGAGACAGAGCCATTTTTGGCTTCTATGGCAGGATGCCACCCCCACCGATCACCTACCTGCTGGTGAGATCCCAAGCTGCTGGAATGGCTGGCACCACCATCCAGTTTCTTTCTGATCCCAGGCAGCCCTAGCAGCTGTAGTCAACAATCACACTTTCTGTGCTGACTAACACAGCCTCTGCCAGGGGCAATGCAGTGGCTTTGCAGCCTTGTATGCTCAGGGGGTCATAATGAAGGAGCTGCACGCAGCTGGAAGGATAGCCCAGAAGCACTGGAGAGAACAAGGTGTATAGGCCTGAATCCCCACAATGCCCTAATAGATGTCAAATGAGCTGCAGCTGTCTCCTTCCCCTGAGAATGCTCCTCAGGGGAAGTTGTGGAGATAAGTATTTCCCTCTGACCCTGTACAATTGGGAATGGTGGGGCTGGTGTTCCAGGCTTATATGGAACCTTATTTGGGAGAAAGCTTGGCACTGCCTGACCTTTCCCAGTGGGACTGCTCTGGGCTGAGGGTCTATAAAACCTGGGACCCTGATGAGAGAAGCTCCTTCTAAAGAAGAAGGCCTTTGACATGGTTTCCCACCATATTCTCTTAAAAAAACGTGGTGACTGCGGCATTGATGCCTACAGTCAGATGGGTGGCAAATTGGCTAGATGGTCGGACCCAGAGAGTGGTGGTAGACGGGTCGTTTTTGACCTGGAGAGATGTGCTTGTGATGCATCTGCAGATGCATGACAAGGTGCGGTTAGCCTTACTGACTGCTTCCTCACATTGGCGGCTCGTGTTCATCCTGGAGTCAACAATGACTCCAAGATCCCTTTCTGCCACCATGTTGACAAGAAGGGTGTTCCCCAGCCTATAGGTGTGTTGCTCGTTCCTTCTCCCTAGATGCAGCACCTCACACTTGTCTGCATTGAATTCCATCCTATTCTCATCTGCCCACCTCTGTAATTTGTCTAGATCTAGCTGGATTCTGTCCCTTCCCTCCAGTGTGCTCACCTCGCCCCACAACTTGGTGCTGTCAGTGAATTTGGACAGCGTGCATTCCACCCCCAGATCCAGATTGCTGATAAAGATGTTGAACAGTACAGGCCCGAGGACCGAGTCCTGGGGGACTCCACTGCCGGGAGGTGATCCTTCCCCTATACACAGCATTGGTCAGGCCACAGTTGGAGTCCAGTTCTGGGCACCACACTTCAAGAGGGATGTGGCTAGCATTGAGAGGGTCCAGAGGAGGGCTACTCACATGGTCAAGGGGCAGCAGGGCAGGCCCTACGAAGAGAGGCTAAAGGGCCTGAATCTATTCAGCCTCCACAAGAGAAGGCTGAGAGGGGATCTGGTGGCCATTTACAAACTCACCAGAGGGGACCAGCAGGAACTGGAGGAGGCTCTGTTACCCCGGGCACCACCTGGGGTTACTAGGAATATGGCCACAAATCATTAGAGAGAAGGTTCAGGCTGGACATCAGGAGACATTACTTTACAGTTAGGGCTGCCAGGCTGTGGAATGGGCTCCCAAGTGAGATGGTACTCTCTCCTACCCTGGGGGTCCTCAAGAAGAGGCTGGACAGATATTTGGCTGGGGTGATATGATCTCGCACCTGTTCCTGCCCTGGGCAGGGGGTCAGACCTGAAGATCTGTTTAGGTCCCTTCCAACCCTAAGTACTATGATACTATGATACTTGCTAGGACACGGTTCACAGCCTCTAGGAGTGGCCATTGTCACCATGCTGAGTGAGGCTGTATTATCCAATGCCTGCACCACCCACCCCCACCACCCAACAAAGGATCAAGGCTGAAGCCCTGTGGGCACCAGTGGAACTCACCAGAGCAGAGGGGCAGGCACAGGGAGCAGTCATCACGGCCAGTTGTGCGGTGACAGTAGTCAACACAGCTTTGCACAGGGATACCACACACTGTGAAGATACACAGCAGCATTACCTCTCCCACAGGGTCGGGGCAGAGACCCCCATGGGCAGGAGGCACCAGTGATGGTCTGCAGGCTCTGCGATACCTTCCTCTTCCTTTCAACCTCAGACCTGCCATTGCTAGTTTATACCTGCATGGTCCCCTGCCAGCATAGCACTCTACTGATCTTCATCAGCCCCTTAAGGGCATTTTGTGTTGCTCAGATGGCATAGGGCAGTCTCAGCAGACTGGCAAGTCCAGGGGTCTCCACCCTTAGGAGCTGTCAGTACAGTGAAATGAGTCTGGTGGCCTCATCCTAGATCCCTGGGGCATTGAAGGCATCCTTGGCAGACAGGCTCAGCTTCCATAGGCCATAGAGCCCTCCTCAGCCATAGCAGGATGTGTATATGTATGTGCAAGGGAGGAGGACTCACTACACTGCTCAGAGGTGTGCATCGAGAGGTTTGCTGGCATTGACATATCCTTTGCCATGTGTTTCAAGCTACCAGCACCACCACTGGTTCTTCTCAATAGCAGTTAGGACACCAGGCAGCGCCCACTGCTATTCAGAGACCAGAGGTCTGTGCACCAAACAGCAGCCCCTATGGGTACCTGCTTGTTTCTGAGCTCCAGATCCTGCAGTCATTCAGACTACAGCACACGCCTTACCTATCTATTCATGGGGAATTGTGGGATTCTTTCCAACTGAGGGGAAACCTCACCCATCTTTCCACCTCAAAGAGCCCAATAATTAATTTTAGTCAAGTTAGAAACATAAACTGCACAACCCTATTCCCACAGCCTGTGAACTCTGTCACACAGCAAGAGCCTATGATACACAAATAGGCAGCACCTGGGGAAACGAGTTTATTAAAGACACTTTCTCAGAAGCCTTACTGCATTTCTTTTACTAGGAAACACAACTTAGTTTTCAACACTAATCACCATCTAGATTGTATCAGATGAGTTCTGAAATACAGCTAGCATCTGCCACAGTCACACACAAAAATGGTCCTCCTATTACAGACAGTACCTGCCACACCCACAGTCACAGCCAACAGTACTGCTATTCTTACAAACTTGGCTCTGGGAGTGCTGAGGTTCACTGAGAATCTCAGCTTTCATTTAAGGAAAAACAAAAGTCAGATTGAGGCTAGAGTAAGATTGAGGCTAAAGCCTCAAGACCTCCAAAACCCAGAGGCCAACAGAATAATCCTAGCATTGACTGCAATAAAATAACCCCAATGCTATGACTTGGGGACCTGCTCTTTGAGAACCATGGGTTGATATTGGCACAAGCCTGAGGCAGGAATCCTGCAGCAGCCCTTGTTCCCATTTCTGTTACCAGTGGCTTGTCTCAAGTGCAATGCTATGTGGACTAGATGGTGGCATGCAGGGCAAAAGGCTCCTTATATCTCATCCTGGCTCCAAGAGCATGAACAAACCATCTGTACCTTTCCCTGTTCCAGCTCCGCTCTGCATTTTACAGGCTCAGACCACTTGCTGACCTAGTGCTGTATTTAATGTGTGAACAAGCACAGTACAGCTATGACAGTACAGACCCTCCCCCAGGTTCAACTACAGCTATGCACTTTAATGGACATCCCGCACAAGCTTCAGTAAGCACAGAGATCCGCAGCAGGAGCACACTGCCCAGGGCTCCCTGCATGGCCCTGGCTCCCAGCTGTAGGGCAAGACCTTGGTTTGAGAGTGATATGCAGCAGAAGTGAAGGTGGAGTTGAGTGTCTGATTCAGTGACAAAGGAGGCCAGACAGCAAAGCAATCTGGGAGACAAGGAGGCTTTAAAAGCAGATGTGAGTTATGCAGATACCAGAACACCTTCCTGATCCTGTATACTCTACCTTATGCACCATTTCGGATGCCTGTGAGCCCCATGGCTTCAGCCCTGATAGCACCACATCCCACTTCTTGACCCAGAATAGCTCAGGCCAGACTGTACCAAGGAACTGCCCAGGAACCACCTCAGCTGAAGCTCTTCCCTTTGCTCCCCTGAGCTGTGCCAGTTCCCTGCTGAGAACCCTCTCCATCCTGTGGTCACCAAAACTCAAATATATGAGCTAGGCCTTTTCAGTTAGGATTATGCTGAATGTATTGAAACAGAGGCCCTGGCTCTCCCTGCATTTCTGAACTCTTTTGTGGAGGTGCATAGAGCACAGGCACACAATGTGTTCTTACAGTATGTGACCCACATTAGCTTGTATCCCCATCGGCTAAACATATGGGCTTCTGGTGAATGCTGTACATTCATGATGAACCACCCAGACAGGAACATCAGTCCCTGGTGCATCTACACATTGGCCCCTTCTTCCCATCTGCCCACCAGCCAGGAGGAGGTCCTCACCTCGTGTGGCCGATGTCCGGATTCGGCCACTACAGTCACATGCTGGTTGCTCTGGAGGGGCGCTGTACCTGTGGCAGTGCTGGCCGCTGTACCCCTTGGCGCATACTGCAGAGAGGAGAGGTTGCTTAGGGAGAGTGCCTGGCCATCAGCAGGCCAGGCAGATGACAGAGGGCAGTCAGATGCAGACCTGAGAACCACACCAGAGCTAGCATGACCTCCACTTTCTACCCCTGGGGTTTGATAGGCCTTTAATGGAACAGCCAACAGTGTACAGGCAGGGAATCTGATGCAGTAGGGCAAACCCATCCCATAGCCAATGCAGAGACTACAAAATCCTGGGACCAGCCAGGCATCCTTGTCAGTCAAATGCCTGTTTGCAATGACCTTGAAGGGCTCCCAGAGGAGCAGCAAAAAGGCACAGGGCTTCCCTGGCTCCACTTGCTCCCTTTCCCTCCCAGCTCCCAGGCTGTCCTGCACTCAGCCTGCTTGGAACAGAAGGCCGAGCTATCTCGCTGGAATAGACCAGGTAAGTACTAAGGGGCCCACTAAGCCCTATTTGGCCCACTAAGCATCAGGATTGGGAAGTACTAAGGGCACCTGTTGGGTGGGGGGGGGGGGAGGGGCTTAGGTGTCTACTAATGCTAGGAGTATGGGGAATAAGCAGGAGGAACTTGCAATCCTGCTTGCAAAAAAAGATTTTGACCTGGTTGGGCTAACAGAAACCTGGTGGGACCCTACCCATGATTGGGCAGTGGGCATTGAGGCATAGAGGCAGAATAGATTGGGGAAAAAAGGGGGGTGGGCATTGCTCTGTACATTAAGGAACATTATACATCTTCTGTAATAAAGATGGGGACAGAAGAAGGGCAAATCAAAGTCCTATGGGTCAGATTACAAGGGGGTAGGGGTGAAAGGAACTTGGTAGTGGGGGTCTACTACAAACCCCCACACCAGGAAGGTAAGTTAGACCTAGAATTCTTGCAACAGCTCTCAAAGGCAGTACACTCAAAGGACCTAGTTGTCATGGGTGACCTAAATTAACCTGACATCTGCTGGGAGGAGCAGTCAGCCAGGTCTGCCCGTTCACGTAGGTTCCTACCCTGCATACAGGACCTGCACCTAACACAGGAGGTATGCAGTCCCAGTAAGGGAAATGCCTTACTTGATTTGGTGCTGGCCACAGGGGAGGACTTGGTGGGGGATCTTCAGGTACAAGGTAACCTAGGAGAGAGTGACCATCTGTTGATAGGATTCTTTATCTGGTGTAAGGTCAACTTCAACAAGCTCAGGAGGTTAGTTAAAGTGGGACTGAGAGGTAATAACATCAGTGAGCTGGGAGTCCAGGAAGAGTGGGAGTTTCTCAAGGGACTGATCCTGCAGACACAGAGGGGTACCATCCCAGTACACATAAAGGGAGGCAAAAGAGAAATCCAGGAAAGCCTACAGGGGGAAAGAGGCTTACAGGCAGTGGAAGCAGGGGACAGCCACCAAGGAGGAGTACACATGCTTGGCTTGTGGTTGCAGAGAAACAGGAAGACCAAAGCAGAAATAGAACTCAGGCTGGCAGATTAAGGGTAACAAAAAGTCCTTCTTTAAGTACATAGGGAGCAAGAAAGCGGCGCAGGTTAACAAAGGGCTGCTACAGGATAGACTAGGGCAACCCGTAACAGGATGGAGCTGAGCTCTTAAATGATTTCTTTGCATCTGTGTCCCTGGTCATGGATACAAACACACCTCTCAATGAGACTTTAGTTTGGCTTCAGAGAGATACCTATCCACCAACGGTTAGCGCTGACTTGGTGAAGGGACACTTGGAGGGGTTGGCCGTATTTAAGTTGGCAGGCCCCGATGATCTTCACCCAAGGGTACTAAAGAAATTGGCTAGTGTCATAGCGAAACCACTGACGCAACTGCTTGAGTGCTTGTGGCACTCAGGACAGGTCCCAGAAGACTGGAAAAGGGCCAATGTGGTCCTTATTTTCAAGAAGGGGAGGCAGGAGGACCCAGGTAATTATAAGCTGGTTAGCCTGACCTCTATTCTTGGCAAGACATATGAAAAAATCATTAAGGATCACATTTGTGGGGGGCTAGTGGGTAATACAATGTTAAGGGGCAACTAGCGTGGGTTTATAGCAGGCAGATCCTGCCTGACTAGCCTGGTCTCTTTTTATGACCAGGTCACAAAGTGCTTAGATACAGGAGTAGAGGTAGATGTTATTTACTTGGATTTTAAAAAGGCTTTCGACATGGTGCTGCACCCAATTTTTACAAGTAAACTAAGTAAACTAAGTAGCTGTGACGTGGATTTTTTCACAGTCAGGTGGGTGAAAAACTGGCTTATGGGACACACCCAGAGAGTGGTGGTGGGTGGGTCAAGTTTCTACCTGGAGAGATGTGGGCAGTGGTGTCCCCCAAGGCTCTGTCCTTGGACCAGTACTGTTCCATATCCTCATCAGTGATTTGGATGAGGGTGTAGAAAGCACTCTGTCCAAATTCACAGATGATACCAAACTATGGGGTATAGTAAACACACTAGAGCAGGGGCAGGCAATTATTTCAGGCAGAAGGCCGCTTACTGAGTTTTGGAAAGCCATTGAGGGCTTCATGACAGGCAGCCAGGGTCAGATAAATATTAATTTTCTAAAAATTTTAGGGGCCCTGCAGGCCAGATAGAATGGCCTGGTGGCCCGCATCCAGCCCACGGGCTGCATTTTGCCCACCCCTGCACTACAGGGCAGGGAGCGAATTCAGATGGATTTGGATAGACTGGGGAAGTGAGTGGATCAGAATAGGATGCAATTTAACAAAAATAAGTGCAAAGTGCTGCACCTGGGGAGAAAGAATCACCTACACATCTACAGGCTGGGAAGTCCCATTCTAAGTAGCACAGCAGCAGAAAGGGATCTTGGAGTCATAGTCGACGCAAAAATGAACGTGAGTCACCAATGCGACGAGGTAGTAAGTAAGGCTAACCGCACTTGGTCTTGCATTAGCAGATGCATCACAAGCAGGTCTAGGGAAGTGATACTTCCCCTCTATGCAGCATTGGTGAGGCCACAACTGAACTACGGCGTCCAGTGTTAGGCGTTACACTTCAAGAGTGATGTGGATAACTTGGAAAGGGTTCAGAGGAGGGCTACTCATATGGTTGAGGGCCAGCAGGTAAGATCCTATGAAGACAGATTGAGGGACCTGGATCTCTTCAGCCTCCACAAGAAAAGGCTGAGAGGCGATCTTGTGGCTGTCTACAAGCTCATCGGGGGAGGGCAGCAGGAAATAGGGGACACTCTGTTTAATAGAAACAATGGTCATAACCTAAAGGAGAGCAGATTTAGATTGGACATCAAGAAGAAATTCTTTACAGTGAGGGTTGCCAAAATGTAGAATGGACTTTCAAGGGAGGTGGTGCTTTCCCCTGCCTTGGAGGTGTACAAAAGGAGATTAGACAAGCACCTGGCTGGGGTTACTTGACCCCAGTGCTCTTTCCTGCCCAGAGCAGGGGGTTGGACTCGATGATCTAATAGGTCCCTTCCGACCCTAGAAATCTATGAAACCTATGGAACACATCTACAGGGACTGGAGCCCAGCAAAGCAGAAGCTTCCTATCCACAACAAATCCAGGGCCCAGGGAGGGGAAACTGAGGCATGGGGAGGTTGATGTGATTGGTCTGGTGGCAAAACAGATCAGTGGAAGAGCTAGGACTAGAGCCCCCAGCACTAAGCCATGTGGTCTCTGTGGATGCTTAACCAGGGTGCATTTGAGCAGAGATCTGCCCCTTACTGGTCTGCACGTAGAGTGTTGAGTTTTCCCGTGGGCTGGTGCTGCTCAGGCTGCTGAGCAGGTAGAATTTAGTCCCTGCATGGAGCACGGCAGCACATGCGCTCCTCTCGCTGAGACACTCCTGCTTCGCCTGCTCCAGGCTCTCGGCAGAGGGGTGCAGCAAAGCAGGGTCTCCTTCCACACCATGACTGACCTGCAGCACAAACCATTCGGTGGCTGGGGGAGGAAGCAGAAGGGGAACAACACTGTCTCTAGGTCTCTATGCAGGGGTGATGCATGTCCTCCCCTTGGCACCAACAGCAAATGCTCGGTACCTTGGGTGAGATCTGGTCACAAATTAGACACCAGGGTGCCAGACACTGTCAGACGTTTTAGACCTCAGGCTCTGGGACTGGATTTCACAGCCCTGAGAGAGGCCCTTAAGTGTCCTGTGGAGGGAAAATCAGTGCCAAGGAATGTGTGTTGCACTTCCCAGCATACTGAGCCAGGTGCAGGAGCCGCTGTGTCTGGAGTCCAACAGCTGTCAGCTGGATGTTGTGAGAGCGGGCCCCACAACCTGACCCTCTGCCTCCACTTGGGTGTCTCAGGCATCTCTTTGGGTGGAAAGCCCTGGTTCACTCTAACTTAGGACAGGAGGTGACCTCCTGGGTCTGTAAGGCTAGTCTCTATGATCATAGGCAACTGTTTAATAAGCATTTGTCCAAAGAGGTCCAACAAAGACATGAATAGTGAATACCAGTGCTTTTCACATACCACAGCCCCAAAGCGGCTAGGAAAAATCATACCCAGGATAGATCACAGAAAGGGGGTGGGAGGGACAGGGCTCCACCGAGGCTTTGAGTCCTCCCGTGGCAAGAGATTCATCAAGGAAAATATGCCCAGGGAATCCAAGGAAGCAGACAATATTAACTATAGAGGAAGGCACAAAACCCAACAGCTTCAACACTCACTGTCCCCCTAGTGCCAGGAAATCATTTTCTCCAATTTCAGTCTCTGCCTCTAAATGCTGTCCTCACCATCAGCAAAGCCAAGTAACCACACGCTGCCAGACACCTGCCAAATATGTAGCTAACCCACAGGCCTCCTCAAGAGAACCCCAAACATGTCAAGCCTTGTATCACCTGCTGTAAATGCTATTGCAAGAATATTCCTTATTCTTATACTAGCCCTGCTCAAGTGCCATCTTGAAACAATTCAGATTCCCTACAACGTTGTTCAGAAGAGCCATTTCAGAACCTCATTCCTCTAATGATAAGAAACCTTCTAATTCCCAAACTGAATTTCTTTTACCCATCTGATCTTGTACCAAGATTATCTTTGAAGACCCATCACAGTTCTGAACTGGCTCCCAAAAGTTTGGGAATAGTCCAGTTGTTACATATATCTATTTGTCAAACCCCATTGATTTCCACACCAAAGGTATTGTGTGAGCTTATGTTGTAAACTGTTGCTTATGAAAGCTTATGCAACTCTGATTTAGTATAAGGTGCACCTCTACCCTGCCTCCAGTCTGACATCAGACTAAGGCTAACTCCCTTTCTAAACCTATTTTAGCATCCTAGATAATCCGTAAGGGAACAGGCTGCTCCCAGCCACTTGCACTTCAGGGAGGCTGATTATCTTACTACTTAGCAGATTGGTTCAGCCTCTGCCCAGCTGTTCATACCTGGTGAAGGGTTCTCACACTGGTGTTAAAAAAGTATTCCCTCTAACAGCAGCCTTGCAACCAACAGGACCTAATCAGCCTCAGGGCTCAGCACTGACAGTTTTAATGGGAAGGTTTAGCTGCCCACACTGTCTGCCAAGCTGCTTTCTGATTGCAAAAGGAGCTGTTGCATGCAGCTCAGGTTGTACTAGACCTAAAAGTGACTACCTCTGCACTTTGGACCATTAAACTTCACAGCAGTGCTATTACTCAAGTCTTCAAGGTCATGATGCACCAAATCTTTAAAAACTCCACCCCATCCTCCTCACTACTGCTTCCCTGCCTTTCACCCAGGAAAGCATCCATCCCTGCCTATCCCAACTGTGCTTCCCAACCCTGGATCCAGTGCAGACAAGCTCTTGCGCATATTGCACCCCTTTTCCCCTTCGTTCCACTGTAGACCCACTCCCTAGTTTCTCAGCCAAGGGAGCCCCAGCCTCCTCCCGCAGTTTCTCCCAAACATACCACCTCCCCAGAGGGGCTGCAGCTGCCCCCCAAAACCAAGATGCTGTTAATCTCCATTTGGGGAGAAACACTGTCAAACATTATACTTCAGTCTTTTCTTTAACACCACAAACCCCCAGAGACTAAGGCAGCTGCCACCCCACGTTCTAGGCAATCCCCTATTGGTTCGAGTGCCATGGTGCACCCAGAAGCACACCCTCTTCTGTATTTTCCCCAATGACTTTCAGGTAGAATTCCTGGAGCAGGAACAAAACTCAGAATCTCTGCACGTACCACCAGGCTACAGACTCATGCTCCCTCCCTCTGTTCCATTAAGGCTTGGATTCCTGCTTCATATTGTCACAGCTTCTGCAGGAGGGACGCAGCATTACCCCATTCAGCCCAGCCTAGAGCCTTATCATCAGTCCACATGAGTAGGCAGTGAGATGAAAGTTTCAACCCCCTCTAGCTGAGAAAGATCTTGAATCTGCATCTCCTGATTCTTGAACAAGTTCTGTGACTGCTAAGATTTTTTTTTTGAAAAATGTATATATGCATATATATATATAGAGAGAGAGAGAGAGAGAGTGAGAGAGAGAGTGTTATATATCACACATCATCTAGCATAAAACTTTCCATCATAAAGCTATTACAGACAATGCACACAGGAGTGCCACCGCCACCCTGGTTTCTGACTGAAAGTGGCAGTGGCTGCTGTGCTTGGGGTTGAACTAAATGTTTTCAGGGAGCGTTCAGTGTGTTCTGAGCACCCCCAAAGCATGCTTTGGGGGGCAAAGCATCAGCATCCTCATCACGCCTCCTGCAATTAGTCAAAACATCAATGAAATGAATGATACTACTGGCAGACCGAATCAGACAACTGTCAGATCCCGGTCAATTGGCTGTAAACATCAACAATGTTTCTCCTAGCCAACCAGATGGCTTTTATAGATTCATAGATTGTAAGGGGCTGGAAGGGACCTTGCAGGCCCCTACTTCGCCCAGCCCCGCAGGGAGCCACGCGACCGGAGCCGCGCAAACAGGCGCGCTTCTCTGCTGGCGCGTGAGTTAGCGCGGAGTTCGCACGGAAGGGCGCACGGGAGGGCCCAAGACCCTGCCAGCGCGCCCCCCAGGGTAGACAGTCCCAGCCGTAGCCCGTCCACCAGAGG